TTTGTTTAAACTTGACGAATTTTTTCCTCCAAAACTATCAAGTTTAGTGAAAAATTTCTAAGAACAAAAATGTTTTAAAATTAGTCAAGAAATACTCTCAAATTTTTTCAGATTTTTTTACAGCCAATTTGGAAATTTCGATTTTCCGATTTTCCACGAATTCGAAAATTAACTCGGAAAATTCTGAAAAAAATTGAGAGTACTCCTTGGTAAATTTTAAGACTCTTTTGTTATTATGTATTATTTTATTGTGTCAATAGTTTTTGAGTAAAAAATTAATCAATTTTATTCCTAGTATACATTTTTTTCAAATTGGTTTCACAAAATATTAAAAAATTTCAAGTCTAACAATTATTTTTTTTTGCTACCCTCGCTAAAAGTCGATTTTCCTGATCGCGACGCGATAGGACTTTAGGCGAGAGAGTTAATTTTCGAATTCGTGGAAAATCGAAATTTCCAAATTGGCTGTAAAAAAATCTGAAAAAATTTGAGAGTATTTCTTGACTAATTTTAAGACATTTTTGTTCTTAGAAATTTTTCACTAAACTTGATAGTTTTGGAGAAAAAATTCGTCAAGTTTAAAAAAAAATTTTTCCTTTCAAACGCCATTTTGTGTTCGCCATTTTGAATTTTGGAAAAAATCCAACGGCATTTGAAAGAAAAGACATCTATAACACCGATAACAGTGTTTCCAATAGTGTGTGCAAAGTTTTTCCATTTCAAAATATACTTTTTTTAGAAAAAAAACGCGAAAAATTTGTGAATTTTCCGAAAAACCGGCCTATAACGTTTCCGGCTTACAATTTAGGTAAATTTTGTCAACGGCATTCAAAAGAGGAGGTCAAAATCTACAAGATATGATGCTTGATAAATTTTTCATACGATTTTTTCATTAAAAGATATGAGGATGAAAGTTAAGAAAAAATTTGTGTTATTTGGGAGGAAAAGGGTTAATCCACGCTCGCAGTAGAGAACCTAAACCAATTGTATTAATCTATGAATTTGATTCGTGCTTTTGCGCTCGTTTTCAACCGCGCGAAGCGCACTAACACTGAGCATACTAGGAGTGGATCGAGGCAGCGGTTAACCTCGCATCGAGGGATGAAACATTTTTAACAGTGTTAAATAGATTCTATTTATTTAACCAATCGTAACAAAACATCAGAGACATCGGAGGAACAGAATCGAATTCGACTAAAGTTGCCGCATCGAATTAACAATAAATTGTAACTTTGCTACGTGTATGTTGAATTCGATAGGGTATTTATGAAATAATTATCCGTTAGAATGACAAACTGCAGAGATGAGAAAGCAACGTTGAATTCAAATATATACACATGTTTTAAAATTTTTGAAGCAAGTCACGATAGCATTACTAAAAAATCAATATGTTATCAAATATATAGAAAGATATAACGTACATAATTTTTCTGCAGAAAAGGCATCGTGATAGTGCAAATAAAGCAGGATACTAGTTTGTTTGGCACAATAGAATCTCAATACGAGTGCAATATTATGTGCAAAGTTATCGACCAGCTGTACGCGTAGACTCGATATCTTTCTATATACATTCTCTCTCCATTCCACCTCTGGTTTCCAGTTCTCCTCTATAAACCTCGCAAGAAGAAATATTGAAAGCTACATTTCATATATCGCGTCGTATGTCAATAAATCGTGTGATACCAAAACCAAACAAATTATCGTATTTGGCTGAAGTATAATTGGTTTACCAGTAAAAGAATATCTACAATAGCATGCAATAAAGGTATAACAAGTTATAAGTATATTCAAAAAAAATTACTGTAGTACTTATGTGATGTAGATTATTTAAAAATTCAATTTTATAATTAAAATTGAGCACATTTCAAAAGTTAACGTTCAGAGAAAATTTCAAAATTTATTTTATAATATGAAAGAAATATAAATTGTTCTATCAATAAAAGTCAATTTCTCGTTGCGTAATACTACTTTAAAAATGCTATTGACAACTGTGTTGCCGCGCCGATGGCGATTGCCTGAGAACGGTAGGGGAGGGCTGCCAACAGAAAACGCCCACTAGCTCTACTCACTGTCTATAATGGTATACTGCACTTTATACTTTGGTGAATGTGTATGTTCTGCACCACTACAGAATCCATTGGAACGTACTTTCTAGGTATTTCCTCGAGATTTACACGCAGTTATTCGTCGTCAAGTGGAACGTTGGAAATTTTACATAGTGACAAACTTTTTACACAACAGTACACATAGTGTCAATTAATTCAAGGTAAAAATAAAAAAAAAACATTGAAATAAAATAACATTACGTACATATCAAATTGCTGGTGAAGCTTTTTCGTCATATAGAACGCTACAATCGCGGCAAGAAATTCTTTCGTCAATACCGTATCACTAATAGCGTAGTTTAGCGTGTTAGTGTATGTGTGCACATATAATAATGTACTCTATTCATACTTAAATACCATTCATTTTTATTCATTGACACTTTTGGCCGCCTATCTTGTTAGTTAATACAAGTGATCCGTCACTGCACTTTTTTTCTTTTAAGATGAAAAAGGCGTACATCTTGAGCACGCTATCAAATTTCTCGAGACATTAACATATTATAACGGAGCGAGAAAGCCAAGGTGAAACTCTATACTTTTCTTGAACGCGCCAACTTCTGCTCGCACGTAGACCCTTATCACTTATAATATTGTGACTCATATATACTGCACTGGCGCTTGTGCTCTTGCAAATCCTGAGCATAATCCAGTCCGAAACGCGATCACGTATTGATCTTTGCGCTTTCGAGGTATAAAGGATGAGCCGGATGTCATTTTGCAGTTTCAAACACTATTCGTGATCACCGTATGTTCTATTAGTACTGAAAATGACACCAGTTAGCAATGACATGTACTAAAATTGTTGTTTGCAATTATTAAAACCACTATATGACCTAATTAACCTGCGTTGCGTTCAGAAACTGATTGTAAAGGACAGACAGTGACCCTTCAGTTACAAGAACTAACTTTTTTTTCTTAGTAAAAATCAAGTCACATGTATATTTTCTCAATTGAAACACCTTATCTCATCCAATGTCATACTGCTGCTTTAAGAAAGGTGACACAATTTATTTTGCGGAATATTGCAACAAACGAATTTTCCAATAACCTTTTTCAGAAAGTTATTCTTTTTAACCATTTGATCGAATTTTGGAATATAACAATCTCTAAAGATATTTTATTTCATGATGCACTTTATGAATTTCATAGAATAATTGAAGATTATAGTATTGTTACGATAAACGCAATGCATCACGGTATATTTTTTTGGTATTTAACGATAAAACAATTGCTATTTATCTATTGAGACTTTATATTATATATTTATTTATAAGACTGAAATATCTCAGGAAGATCTGACTTCTTGGTTAAATCTTTCGAAAATCAATGATTATTCTAGCTTAAAAAATTGTATGCCATAGCTATATTTCTTGTATACTTAACATATTTTTTCTTTCTTAGTACTCGAAATATTTTTTCAACCTATTTCACAGTTCTTTTTGAAACATTTTTTTTTACTTGAACGCAGCTCCTGGCTAACATAACATTCTGTCTAATGTACTTTCAAAACCTCAAAAATTTTGTATTTTAATTATAATATATTATTCACATAGGGGGTGAAAGTGGAGATTTAGCAAAGCTAATGTCTGATCAATTTATCGTTGCCTGTCTAATTCGGGGCAGATACTGTTTTGTCCACTATTTACCTTTATGTTAAAATGTTTCGAAGTCGGTAAAACATCTGTCACCAATTATATGCCAATTATATGAATATTTGTTAATAAAAATTAGTCTTTCGCGAACTTTATTGCCAAGGATAAAGGCATTTTACTCGCACGCGTTGTGAAAAATAATTTTTTTTTAATATTATATTTGACTAGTAGAAGGTAAAAAATAAAAAGGCTCCGTGCCAAACAAATTAGAATATAAGAAACTGGAGTAAAAACAATAAAAACCAAGTTTCCGTTTCAATAATTTTTATATGCATCGACGACGCAGTGCTGGTACTTCAGTGTTATCTTGTAATTTCTCAATGTGTCATCACGCAAGATTGAAAATATCGATTTTCCCAACTATTACAGAGTAGTTACAGTTACGTTGCGTAGCAAGCTTAACAAAGCAGGCCACCTTCGGGAAAGACAAATCGAGTGCAACAGCAAGCTGGAATTTTTTAGTGAGCTCATGAAGCATTTAAAATAATTATTTGCAAGGAATAGCAATTAACTGAAAAATTTACTGGAATCGTTACGTAAAAGAAAAAATAAACACCGTTTAAAAAATACGAGTCTCGTTTAAATTTTTCTGACCTTAATGAGAAAAATGATGCCAAATTAAAAGAAACTGCTAATTAGAAATGCATCAGGTACACGAATAAATGGCCCATGAAATACTGTTTACAAGTTTTGATATTTCAAACAACTTTTGCAACTTTTATTATCTTTATTTTCTTTGTATATCAACATATTTACTTTGAATATTCATTCATCATATAGCCAATATTTATAATGTTTTATTTTATTCTCACTTCTTGAGCAAATCTCTTTGTAAAAACTTTGTTATTCTATAACTTGAAAAAAAGACCTAATCCCATTTGGTAAATCATTTGTTGATGCATTATTTATGAATAATATTTTGGAATATACAGGAGGTGGAGAACGAGGAGGAGGAAGAGGAGGAGGAGGAGGAGGAGGAGGAAATCTCATTCTCGGCGCGTTTGCTGGTATCCCCACTATATAATAAAAACTGGTAAGGTGGAGGTGAGGGTGTAGAGGGGCTGTTAGTAGTAGAGGGGGCTTTTGAGACAAGGGACTTGGATCGCAGAGTAGAAGGGAGAGACGGCTTGGGAGTAGGTGGGACCGCGAGTAAGCTGTGAGTCTGAACAACGAATGAGTAACCGTGCGCTCTCCGCAAAAGGCTTATGCGATCTTTCAGTTAGCACGAGATCGGCAAGCCGAATGGTCGAACTGTCTTTTACGCTGGGTATAGCTTTGATTGTCGTTTTAGATATTCTGTTAACGCTATCTCTTTATCTTTATCATGCTCTGATTAATAAAGATGAATCATACTAAGCAATGCATGTATTTGAGGAAATGCTGACTGTCCAATGAATCAAAAATCAGTGAATTGAGTGTCGTTCAAATGTAAAAATGTGGAACAGATTTCTACCAACTATTCTGTACTTATTTCGTAATTCTACCTTGGGCAGTAGTTGGACTACCGATAGTTTCTCAATAAATCATTTATTTATTAAAAAATTATCTCAATCGATAGATGCATTCGAAAAGTGAAATTTAAGCAAATTACTAGTTTTACCGTACTGTTACTTCGACGCTGCCGCTCTGTTTCGGAGGGCTGTGACAACAACAAAGTGAGGAAACAAGAAATGATCTTCGAGCTGTTGCTGGCTGGAGCTTTTAGCTATGCCACGTTAAGGCGGTGTGTGTATATTGTTAAATTATTTCAGATTATTTATATCCAATGCTCAAACTAACCAAGTACTCTTAGAAAATTGAGAAATAAAGGACAAAAGAACAATGAACATATGTTTAACCGGTTTTAAATACATTTTTTTTTTGCATTGACGGATGTTTTTATTTAAAGGAAACTAGGACCGAAGTTAATAGTTATTAATTATACAATGCGCTATCCATTATGTTCATGTTGCGCGTGCTAATAATTTTTATAACTAATTGCTAGGAATGACAAGGGTAAGCTCCGGTGATAAATTTAATGCTTATGCGATCATACAATAATACTTTGGTAAAAATATTGATGATCCGATCCAACAGTTGCATGATTTTATCCATAATATTAAATACGCGTAATCTTCTTGTGCGATGATCATCAATAACGTGCATAAAGCATTTTAAAACATTTCTTTAAGATCGAAGGACAAGAACTGCAAGGTTTTTATAAGCAGTAATCAGGCATTGAAAATATTAGATTGATATGTGTATCGAATTTGCATTATTTTTCAAACCTACCATGAGAAAATTTTTTAATTTTTTAATTTTACATTTTATTGAATGTTGATGAAACTAGAAAGACATTATAGTGTATAACAATACTAGTGTAATAAGTGACGCCAAGTGTCACTTATGGAGTATCGTCCAGTATTCTATGTGACTGCGTGACATAAATTCGCACTTATGCAATTCATATCCGTGACATAAGTAGTTCATAATAACACCGTACCTATAGCCCTCGCTAGCGCTCAGATCATAACCTCATGGTGCTACTTTGAACTATTTAAGTCACGTATAAATGAGCCGTAAGTGTGGATTTCAGGGCAGTGGTCTAAATTAACGAATTGTAACAGTTTTACCAATAATGTGTCGCTTGTAGTACTAGTATCGTTATATATTATTAGTGTTATTGGTGTGTAAAAATGGCACTGTGAGGTTATGGTTTAAGCCCCAGCAAGTATTACGAATTACTAATGTCGTGGATAGACGTTGCACAAGCGCGTATTTAAGCGGCGCATTGTCATAAAAATGTCTGTCGTCTTTGCTTGCAGTGAAATCAATAATTTAGACTGGACTACGTTAGTCCTATGCACGCCAGAGCCATCGTATTTACTTTAGCTTAGTACACTCGAGGCATTTTTACAGTACGTGACACATGCTCATATGCTTGCACACTTAAAAGACAAAAACGCAACAAAAATAAGGTAAACACATTGAAAAGAATACTAGAAAACGAATAGTCTAACTAGTTTTTAAATGTACTATAGCTTAAAAGCTTAAAATTTTGTTGCAAGTCTTATTCGTTACTTCTTTTTCCTACAGCAATACATTTCATGTAACAGCAATTTGAAAATATTTATTCAAACCGGTGTTTCTTCTTATAGTTCGTATCAGACGAAAAATATATTAATGTGCCTACACGATTGATTATACGTGCTATTTGTGACACAGAAAATCTTTATGAACTAGACAGTAATTGATATAATTCCTGTGTTTTTCTTATTTTATTATGCCGTAAAGTGAATAGTTACCTTTGTAAGTATCGGCTTCTAAGGTCATCCTAATTATATTTTGTTGTTATTTTATATTAGGTTTAAATTATATAAATTTGATTCACTGCTGTGAAGAATATTTCAATATTCTGTACCGACCAAAAATTACAGTAATAGTTATTATATAATATAATAGAAAATCGAACCAATTATAGAGTAGTCAATTATCATAAAGTATTAGTTAATTAAAAAATAGATGAAAATAAGTATAATTTTGAACTATTCCAATTTCGCCAAATTTACTATAAACGAGTAACAGTGAAAATTTCGAAATAACAAAATACAGTATAATTCACTTATTGTTAACAACTTATAAAAGTAACCAATCTGACTATTATCTGCCAGTATTTATTATCGTTTACTGTATTTTATTTACCGTGCTATAAAGTAAAATTAAATGCGTAAGCATATAAAATAAAAGATGCAGAAATAGTCGATAAATCGACAAATACATGCATGAGTCAAGTACGCAAATACTTCGGCACGGTACTGTTCAAATTATCACGCTTATCTAATTTTTGTGTAACAGCTTCCCTATCAATTCATTTCTAAGTGCATAATGTTATAGAGCGCTGCTAATTTTTCAATTTCCAAAAGAACTGTGTGGGGCGATTAACGACGACGAGTCGTTAGGGTCATATTGTGGTTAAAATTGAAGAAAATAGACTGAATAAATAATATTTTTATTGTAGTACGACATTGATAAAGCAATAAAATAACATAAGATAAAATAAACAAAGTTCTTCGAACAATTATTCTAAAATATTATCTGTCGTATTATATTACATTGAAGTTCAGTCACAAGCCTGTATACATTATACCAGTTTGTATCACACAACACTGACAGGCCGAGACGCAAATGATGAACGACATCAGGTTCTAGGCATGTGACATCAGCGATTCATATCTACGCGATGCAAATGCACATTGAATACCTGTAGATAACCTTTGCTTCTAAATTTTGATCGTTAATATTATTATTATTATTATTAACTGCAGATAATTTGGATTTGGATTAATTTTTATTATGGTAGTAAGAATAGTAAATAAAATGTATTAACGATAGGCGGCTCCTTTTTGCATTCGTTGGGTTATTTTCTTTTTAAATTCTGATTGCACGATAAATCTTTATACTCTCCAATTCACAATCTATTTCCTCCTTTGCGGAGGAGGACAATTTCTCAGCGCATGCAGCTTGAATTAGTGCGTAGGTGCTAGAGTATGAACTGGCGCACCTACTACAGTATATAAATGTATAGTGCACGTATATCCATCGGAGGATAATTTTTACTATGCCTAATATGATAACTTTAACTTGGTTTCACGACAACAAAGTCAACTCAAATGTTCCATCTACCATGAACGAAGATTTAATATAATTGAAAGACTAATGGCTTATTCAATTGTTTAATTACAGCAACTTCATTGGCGGTACATATAGAAACGTTAACAGGGTTTCTTTTTTTCCTAATCTTTGGCCTCGGCATCTTGTTAAAGTGTAGCAGTACGAGTGCTACACCGTATAATATGAGATCTACGTACCATCTGGAATTAATAGATGTTGAACCCTGGCTCGAGCCATGCGGAACACCTATTGCAGCAGCAGCAGCAGCAGCAGCACTTGGAAAGTTTCCACAGCGACACAGCGTGCATCGAGCTCTTAAACGTGTCAAGACACAGCTCAGAGTCGCTCAAAATCATTTTCGAGCAGATCTAAAAGATATTCATGACATTTATTCAAAAGTAAATATAATCTCTTTTAAATAAACGAATCGCAAGAAATTCCGGATATGCAAATATTTCTTTTGAAAGAGTCTCATGTATCTATCATGATGATAAGTACGACCACCTACTTGCACAGACGAAACATTCGTATCAACTGTCATCTATAGTTTCATAAGACACATGTGCTCAATGTTTTTCTTCAACAAGTCAAATCATTTTTGCATACGTCAGACAGTTTACATGTGCTGATGCTTGCATGGGAAAAAGTCATAGTATACAACTTAACAACTTTCTTTATTATCTATATTTATAATAGCAATTCTTTATATTTAGGTTTATAAAGTTCTCAAGGAGCAGTACCGAATGAGTTGGCTTCCGGATAAACAACTAGAATGGTATCATCGTGAAATTTGGTGTTTGGACAAAAATAAGAAAGCCGAACTCGCATTGCCGAGGTTGCACGACGCACTGCAACGATTTGCCATCACTTTTCATCACCTGCGAATGTTTAGATTAAAGTCAAACATTAACGCAGATTTTACGCTAATTAGACGTAACAATATTGTCGATGGCATGAAAAGTGAAATATTAAGAGTGAGTAAAATAAATTTATTCGTATAACTCTCGCATATTATAGATTCCATGAATTTTACTCACAATTTTGTTACTTTCATTGTTCGAAGATGCTCTGCGAAGTAGAGACTGCGATTCTGAATTTGGGTCTGCAACTACCTACAACTCATAAATCAATACTTGTCACTGAAAGTCCAAGTTGGGCTCGAGAAGGTGATTTAACTCTCATGCTTATTCAAGACTCTGGAGTTTTGCGCCTGTACCAAACTTTTTTGAACGATTGGATGCGCGCACTGCGCAATGCTACTGCAATAGGATCCGGTACTTGTGATCCAACCAAATTACGTCCTCTATCAAGTAGCTTTAAATCCAAAAAACTTCAAAAACTTCAAAAACAGAAGAAACGAAAAAAAATGAAAAAAACAAAGAGTAAATTGCACAACTTGCAAAGAACAAAATTGTTTTCACAGAGCCGAAGACGAATGAGTAATAAACGGAAAATTTTAATTTCGAATTAAATTATATAGATAAATTAAAGTACATATTTACCCTATGTTTGTTAAATACTCGTTACAATCGCGCATGAAAAGTATTATGATTACCAAGAAATTTTTACAATAAGTCACGCAGTATTAAGAATATTTACTTTTTATTTCAATGGCAAGCAGTATTATACAGTGTGTCTTTTTCTGTAGTTTAATCAAAGATGTCATAATTTTAGCGGTTTTAAAAGTGATGTCGCACGACTGGTAAATCAGATCATACATCGAGTAATTTAGTGCTAATTTCAATTCAATTCTTTTATTAAAAGACCTCTAATGTTTTTTTAATAAAACCATGCAATTGAAATTTCATTGTCTTTAACTTTATAGTCGAAACTTTGATTTATAATTCATGTTCATATTTTGACGCACCAATAATATAAATCTTTCAGTGTTGTGCTGTGATATGTAAAAGAATGAAGCAACGTACAAGAAAGTATTTAAGTTAATCTTGAGTTGTCTCCATATAAAAATTGAAAATGTATTAAATAGTGGTGCTCCGCAAATAGAGCGTTTTATTATTGTATTTTTTGTCAACAAAAGAAAGAAAAGTAAAAGAAAAAAAAAAGAAAAAGAAAAAGAAAAAGAAAAAGAAAAAGATAAAGAAAGAAAAATCCAATAAATTAAAAAATAAATCATTTGAAAAATTTACCACGTGATTATTTATTGCTCTTCTTTGAACATTATAATGAGGTGAAATAAGCTCGAGCGTTGTTATAATTGATCCGCGCATGGATCGACGTCATAGTTCTGAACGCCGCTGACCGTTAATGGTCCGATGCTCTCGCACACACCGCGCAAGTAAACTTACATTTGGACGATTCACTTGCTGCTCGAGGCTTTCCCGCACTTGAATCACAAAGTAAACACCAATACTTTGCGTCTGTTGGCGGCGTGCGCGCGTTAGTCCCCCCGGTAATGATACTATTATTACAACTAGACTCAGCTTCGTTTTCATTACGACAAAAGCGCGCAGCGGTTATTCCGTGCCACAATTGGCAATGAGTTTCCATCTTTGTTGAATGCATTTGCAATAATCGCGAGAGAAAGTGCGATCGAAGAATAGGAATAGAAGCCAGCTGAAGCCTGAGGGAAAGAGGAAGGGAGGGGGGAGGGTGAAGACATACCACTGGCTGACTGGGCTGAGCGAAGCATCACGTCATTATGTTAAATCTGGAGATGTATGTATATGCTTTAGTTATAGTCTTGCGCTGCAGCACAACTGTAAAAAGACGCGACTCATGAGGCTGTCTGACGTAGGTGAGTTGTGAATTCCAGCAAAAGTTGGAAAACGAGTCGGTCATTTGAACGAACGAAAAAATAAATAATAAAATCACTCGAATGAAAATTTGATGCTTCATTGTATGTATGAAACTGTTGAGCACCTGAAATGAAACTGATATAATACGTGACGCATTAGAGGAGTACCTGCCGATTGATATCTAGCATTGCCGATAAATTAAATGTTTTCACAAAAGTTTTTCTCATGATAAAACAGAAGTACTCACAATCAATGTCGCTACGGACGTCAAAGCTTTCATTTGCTTGCTAACCAATGAGAATGGGGTGATTCGAAAAAATGTAACATGCCCAAGCAAAACTCCCTTGCTACGAGGACGGCAGTGCGTAACGTGTAAAATAAGAAAGACGAAACCTGGCGAGTTACGTCGAACTTGCGCTTGCCCGCTCGAACGCGCGCGCGTGTGCGTACGCAAGCCGCAATTGTTTACATTATCGAATATATAAAAGTGGAAGCTCTAGAGTTTGACAATCTCAGTTGTACTAGGGTACGCGATCACGCGCTCGCACTTGTGCGCCTCATCAAATTCGACAAAGTGAAAACGACGTTTCAAGTACACGGCGAAATATGGAGCTCGTTTTTTATCTGACCGGTGCAGTTTTAGTAACGTGTGTTGTGGCGGCTGCGGTCCCGGTAAATCTTGCAATGAGCAGGACTGCCGTACCGTATTGGCATGTACCTTGCGGTAGTCTTGAAGATTACGAACAGCTGATTGATACGAGAAACGTCGACGAAGAAATGAGTTCAAGTCTAAAAAATCTAAGGATTCAGCACGAACTCTTGATGAATGATTATCTGAGTAAAGATTATGAATTTCTGTACGAAAGAGTTAGAATTGGTGTACACGAACATCAGTACATACCCAATTGGTTACCCGGCAAAAAGGACGTGCACGTTATTAAACGGTTGAAACACTTTAAGCCACGAATGGTCAGTATCCACTTCTGTTCATTCCACACAATTAACACAACTTCCGCAAGCTAGTTTAGCAGCCGCGTAGTGTTAAAGTTTAATTATACGATCGATTGCTATCTGATTACGATTTTTTAACGTTTACCAAATATAAGTTGTATAAAAAGTGTTTCCTCGCGCTGACGCATGTCGCTATCTCAGCCGAATGAAAAAAACAAATGATAACCAGGCTCGCATAGAATTGACGGTCAAATGCAATAGATAGAAATATAGAACAAATTCCAATAGGCCACGTAACTTTATTGCTGACTAATCAATTAGACTTGACGTATTTTCTACTTTCAGATTATTAATCATCTGCCAAAGTTACATTCGGATCTTCAGAAATTCGCAGTGGCTTTAGAAGAAATGGTCGAAGATGAAACTTGGACGCCAAAGGTTCAAGATGCTTTGAAGACAACACAATCATATTTGAAAATGATGCTTTGTGAAGTAGAAAGTAGTATAATTTTACTACCCGGTATTCAACTGCCAGGGCGCATTGAACGAGGTATCATGAGTGAGACAGAGCGGGAACCCGTTGACGATACTCGGAGACTGGTACGAGATTGGGGAATATTATTGAAATACAAAGACTATTTGCATGCTTGGCGGCACGTCTTTGATTATTGATAAGGCTTATCGCGATTTAGATCAATTGTAAATAATTTCACTAGTATTTATTTATTTATTATCTATCATTTTACTTAAAGTGAAAGTTGGGCTTTATTATTTATGATGAACTATATTTTTTATAATGATTTTTTCCATTGTCAAGATTATACGCAGTATTATGTCATGAGTGCATTGTCATGCAACTGTTCCTATGATTTTAATTATTGTTAGATTTATAAATTTTGTATCTAATTTTGTACGATATTTCGGAATATAAGACTGTTTTGATAAAAAAAAAGTGTTTTTTAATCAACCAAAAAAAAAATACATCTCAAATTCATAGAGAGAGAGAGAGAGAGAGAGAGTGCTAAGAGATAGAGAGTGGCTGTCGTTGAAGTGATTTATATTCAGTTGTTTAGCAATTCAAACTTATTCATTATCCCCTACCTAATAACTATTTAAAATTGAATAGAGCGTTCGAAATAAATTAATCGCACCAACTATTGCAATTTGAAATCTTAATGGCTAGCTATCCCTATCGAAAGGGCTTATTAAAGTTTGAGTAACTACAAATAAGATCTACCAAAAATAATAAAACAATACGATACAATCAATAAAATATCAAAACAATAATGTAGGTATTCTTCGTTATGCTCCGGCAACTCTGTTGGTTTATTTTGCACCTCAAATCTTTTGATAAAACTAAAACATTACCAAAACATAACAAGTGAGCATAATTTTAATATAAGTTGATTTATTTTTCTGTATTATCGTCTTACAATATTAAATATAATAAAATGCTATCGATTGTGACAGAATTTTCTTTTAGGAAACTATCAGTGTTTGCAAAATTTTATTTTAACGTAATATACAACAAATATAAATGGTGTGTGTGTGTGTGTGTGTATGTGTGTAGAAGTTTTTTTATCACGAAGTATGAGCTTAATAAATGCCTGCAATTAAGCTTTTTCAGAATGGGATCTTCAAGTGCGTTATCTCGTGAAGCATTCTGCAGGGGCTTATTGTGCAATGCATTGTGCGTGTTTTGTCACAGAAACATTATTTAGGAAATTTTTAAATACAATCTCGTAAAATATAATCTATAAATATAAAATAAGAATTTCAAGTTGATATTTTAAATATTTCATTTCTATACTTTATTATTTCAAATATTTAGCCACATTTTTCAGTTTTAAAACTAATTTTATGTTATAAAAGTGTATATCATTAGATATAACAATGCTCATTAAAAGTGGTATTGGCATAAAATGATTACAGAAATTTTTTTAAATATCTTATTGGTTAGAAATTTTACTTGTTATTAGATTTATGTATAAAATTATATTTGCACAAGTTTATAACTTATTACGATTAAAAAAAATAATAATAATATCAACACTAGCGTTTCTAATCTTCAAATTGTGCACTCTGCAAATATTTTCATTGGGTAGAGCAAATAAATTATATTTTGTTACAGATGTTGCCTTGTCATTAAATACGACTTATTATTACATTCCTCCGATCAACAATAATATATATAAAAAAATATATCAACAATTTTATTATCAGTTGGCCATTATATAAGTTAAAATTTACAAAGAGGCTTATAAGTTAAAGTGCAAATTTTAAGTTTAACGGAATAAGCAGAAATTTTTGATAATAATAAAGAAAACTCAAAAAATAATTAGAGTAGTAAATAATTTTTAATTAAACTCGAACAACAAATTTGCTATTTCAAATTTTTATCGAAAAATGCAGACTAAAGGAATTCCAACGTTGTGACAGCTAATTAAATATCTTCAGCTCAAATGTTTGTACAATATATTTGTATTTCTGAAAATAATAACATCAAATATCTAATTCTAACTGAATACATTTTTGGCTTTTCTTGGGGTGAAATGAACGCGTATATAGCGTCTGTAGATCTAACAAAGTTATACCAAGTCAATGAGTATGATAGTTTAGCTTTTAAAAAAATTCATATCACTCCGAAAAGAGTCAAAAAATTATTAGGGTAGTAACACTACCCAATTAGTAAGATAATTTAGAATTTTTTAAATATGTTAGCTATCTCTCTTCAACTTCAGCAGTGGAATTTCTTTGTGGATTTCGTTACTACGAAAAATAAATAAAAGTTTCATACAACTAGTGAAAGTTCTTTCAAAATATTTTATACATATACCAATAATAAGTAAGGGCTATATTTGATATAAAAAATGATATAATTAAATCACGAGTCAAACCAATACCCTATAGGGAACAAATAAAGCTTACTACGTTCACGACGTTGGTTTGTACTTTGTGAGTAACGCTAAAAGTAAGAATAAGAGCAGAAGTAAATTTGTTTTTTAATAAAACTGCTTCGAAATGACTTTCTCATTTGATATTAGTGTCAAAATGGTCAGTTATTAGCCCCTTAGTCTTATAAGTTCTTAAGAATTCGAAAAAATAGATTCTGGATGATTTTTCCATATTTCATTTTGATTTAACCTTTTTAAGATCACTAAAAATTTTGAAACTATCATTGTGGACATACAATTTTCCGCTCTTTCTGAATTCGGCGTGAAAAATAGGATATCTTATTTTTTTAAATTCCTTCGACTATAAAACGACTTTGAAAATTGACGCCTAAAACTATTATTTAATACGTTTAATAATAACAATTTTTTTTAAATAATCATCTTTAAATCAGCTAATTATTAATTTTAACAAAAATTAATAATTTCATAAAACGCACCACAAAATGCACCACATTGCAGGAATCTAATTTTAACGAATAATCGAAATCGCTTGAAAATAAAAATTTATTTCATGAATATTTTTATTATTTACAAATGGTCATTTATTAACACATACATAGAATTTAGTATAAGTAAGTTATTTAATCAATTTCCATTTTTCGTTAACATTAGATTTCTGCTGTGTTGTATTCTTTAACATTTCGTACCGAAAAAACGTGTTATTTAATATAATTTATTTAAACTTGATCATATTTTCGATTTGCTAAATAGTATTTTTGTTATTACTATTATCAATTTGTTTGAATTAACATTGGTTTCGCAACAGAAACGATCGACACTGCGCAAGGTCCATGTACGTATGATTAAAATAATAACGAGACTCCCCATCAGTTGCGAGGTCTGGTGTATTCAGTCTGCTACCTTCGTATTATCATCGTCATATCAGTATCATCAAAACGAACAGTAATAATAGTACAGTTACTACTGTCATTACAGTTATTAAGCCAATTCAAGCCTTAAATTGTAACCAGACCTCTAAACAGCGCATTGTCTTTATTACTACGACATAGCAATATTTATTTGAGCAGGATTATACTTTTCAGTAAGTTTTACCGATCATGCAGGCAAATTCACCTCTCTGAGAGCCTCTAGTTGGTAATTTCGATTTTACAAAGCGATCGTTGTTACAGTCAGACGCTACCTTATTGCCATTCGATATCAAAAAACTATTTTATCATTTTATGAGTATGAATAAAAATAAACCAGCTTTCAACGTCAAGTTCGACGATTCAATTTTACACAAAAAACAATGTTCTGCGTGATTTTTATAAGTGTAAGTTATTTAAATATAAAATAATTAAGAAACTTCTGTCCGCCTATCGGCTTGTGCAGATAGGCATAGTCGTCGGCACTCGGCAATGATCGGCTCGGCAGCCGAACTCGAGCCATGTTCTTTTCAGCGACTGCTTATTCCTTGATCGCTTAGAGGTACAGCTTTGAGGTTCCCCTTTACGGCTCTGTATGATACTTCTCTTTATTTCCATACACTATTCACTACATGCATGCAAGGCGAGCCAAAATATGAATTTGTGCTTACTAAATAGGCACACCTGCAAGAAATTTTGTTTTTAGATGGGGCATCATTTTTTTTATTGGCACAAATTTAGCAATACTTTATAATGTTTAAAGCTGATAGAAAATCGGAAAACACTTAAAAAATATATTTTTACGTAACTGATTGTAGTTTCCGCGAAAAACAAATTCAAATGAGTATTCATATTATTTTGTTATTTAGTTCATATCAAGTGTAATGCTGTGCGTTACAAAGGCTTTGCCGGAGAGCGCTGTACTATTTGCAGCACCTCGGGAGAGCCAACCCCATCCCTTACCGCCCCGTAACCAGCCGAATAATTATGCCCTACCTGCGCCCTAACGAAAACATCCTTTTCTTTTCAACTGCTAACAAATGCCCACCCACACTCGAGAAAATGACGCAACAAGTTAATGATTCCGTCGCGATCCGACGGAAGGCGCAAGATGAAAAAAGTAGCCGTCACGAGAGATAAAAGAAAAGGAAGCGCACGACGAAAAAATTGGAGAGCACGCATACACACACACACACGCTCGACCACGCGTTGCCGATAGAAGGAAAAACGCGGAAAAACAATGGGAAAAATGCACCGAGGATACACGCAAATGAAACCACGGGCGCGTTACACACTTGGGTATCATCAAAAACACTCAGAGGAAGCTAGCACACTTGGGGCGACCAAGAAATCGAAGATGAAGCGGCAGCCGGCAATCAGCTGTGCCAGGCTGCAGCACATCATCAACGGTATCCTAAGCGTTTATTATTATAAACTTGGGATGTAAATTAATAAATCGCGATCCCAAAAGCTCGAGACATGAACATGAACTTGACAGCTCAAGACATTTGATAATTTTGGAAAAAAGAAATTCACAGTTTTATTTGAACAATGTTGAATAATTTGTATTTATGTTGAAATTAATCGTAATACTGATATCTAAAAATCTATATTTTGATGAATTGTACAAATAAAATTCTTGTTAGATTAAGCTAACCGAAAAAAAATAGTATGAAAAAAATTTATAAATTACTTGTGATGCACTTTCCATATATAAAGAAAATATATAAAAGTTTTAAAAATATTCCATGGTCATTTAAAATGTAACTTTTCAAAGTAAAGTTACTTTTATTAACAACACTATAGTGTTAACTTAATTAAATTGTAGAAATAATAAGTCAACAAATATAATTCAAATATATTTTATGTATCTTCAATATTCCTATATTAACATAATATTGAGTAATTATAAGTCATATCAATCTTTACATTATTTCAATTTTTTGAATTTAGTATCAGAAAGAATCGACAATAAAACAGTAGAATATAATTGTGATATAAACTATTATAAACACTACAACATTATAAAAAGTCAGTTTCAATGTCAGGTCTTAATTATATACATATACCAAAATAAGTTTAATAGAGAAGTATATTACAAACTGAACTTAAATCTCATCATGAAATTTAATTATTTGCTGTGTAATTTTTCAATGCAGACACTTAATTGTTCAAGTCGTTGAAGTAAATTGCGCATATTTGCATTTGATTGTCTAAATCCGGATTGGTTAGTTCCATGATCTTGACGTTGGCCCATTTCAAAATGAAGTTTGGCAAGTTTCTCTTGCTGCTCTCTTATTTCAGTCATTTGTTCCATACTACAATCTTTACCTGTAGTTTGAAAAATTAGATATGTTAAAACTTACAACTATTGCTGTAATACGAAAATAATTCAGTTGCTTAAAATAATTACCAAATGCTTGTAAGTTGCCACTATGAAAGTCTTCGAGCAATTGCAGGAGTGCTTTCTCCATATGTCTAACATCGGGTACCTCTGTTAAAAATGAATGATGCTTGCAAGGTGCTGTGTTTACTACATTAGAATAGTAAAACAAAAGAAACAAACTTAAAAGAACAAAAATAAAAATACATAACGTGATTAAAATAAATATTAAATAGTGCAATTAAAGTAATAAATTAGTAGGTGCAATGAAACCATATACTTAAAAAAATTATTTAAAAATTTTATACACGATGTGGTATACCTTTGGGCTGTTTGTTAACTCGTGGAGGCTCTGGTCTTGGTGGCTTTACCTTTTCTTTTTCATTGAGATACATTAAACGCGATTGATTACCCGTATAAGAAGAATTAGTTGCTACTCTTCCTGACATAGACCCTTGACTAGTTGTTGCTTGACTGGAAGATCCTTTGCTAATTATTGATGATGCTTGAATACTGTTATCTTTATTTTCCCATACAAGTTGCTGCTAAAAGAACAGTTTGAAACAGGTGGAAATGTTAATTATATTAAAATAATATTAAAATAAATATTTACCAGTGGATGGGAATTGTGATCTCTTTCTTCTTTAGGTTTTCTATGAGGCCTAGCTGGTGTAGATGGTGGTGTTGCTTCACCACCTCTGATCAAAGGTTCCTCATTTTCTTCTTCCTGCACCAATTGTGTCAATTCCCCACAAGTTGAATTTTCATTCATATTGACTGCTTACTCCTTGATCAGCTCTAGAATTTTCAATCAATTGACGATGCAAATGTTTGTTATTTTTTCATTTGTAGGAAAATTTAACCTTAAATATATTTGCTGTATTCCGCGTAAAGGATTTTTATAGTCGACAATAAAGTGTTGTATAAATAGATTCAATTTTAGAATATCTTTCTCATTATATCACTAATAGGAATAAAAAAAGGCCAGTGAAGCTGAAATAGCTATTTTCAAGCCATAATCGATAAAATGTAAACAAATACATCGTCATATCTACCTCGATCAAATTAACTGGTATCTCCCATATTTGTATGTCAAGCCGAGTTTTACAGAATATGTCGGTACATAAGTACAGATGTAGACAATTTATTGTTTCGAACATTCAATGAAAAAATACACGAATTTACATAAACTATACTGTAAACTGTCAACTGGATGCCGGATGCACCAACACATTACACTGATATAAGATGTGATACTCATGACGACACACGACTGCGTTGCTGTCTGATTTTTCGAGGTATATACCACATGCAAACATGATAGAAGCAGCTGTGGCACGAGAATAAATTTAAGTGTTTTCATTCTAGTTAATATAAAAGGTATAATTTTCTACGAAATTCGTCGTATCTACCATTCTCGAATGTTAAAAGACATTTGATTCATTAATCGATAACGCATGATATTTGTGTTATAATGCAATTTAAAATAACCTATAATATTGTTTTTATTCGTCTAAAGTTAAATTTTCTATTACAAGTGCCTTGTAAATAGACCATTTATCCCACAACCAAGAACAAAGATTGTATTTTAAATCGTTTATTTATATCAATAATTAATTGCTCCATCTAACTTGATGACTGATATCTGTTTAGATTAATCTAAGTATTATTTGTAGATTTAATTCATGTTTCCATGGATGAAGGAGCAACTAACAGAGGCCTGGAATAGTAGGAAGAGTTCAAGGAGTTCTAAGAAACACTCCTTAAATGGCTCTTCTGAAGATTCCGGAGGAATGACATCCTCCACTGCTGCTGAAAGCTTTCTCATCAATGTCATCAGGTATTTAATACTTCAATATTTTGTCAACGTCAATAGTCTACTGAGCTCTGTCACATATTGCTTAAACAAATTTATGTTTAAACTGTTAGCTTGGATGGAGGAGTATTATACGTTGCAGTGACAATGGAATATACTATAGAAAAAGTCAAATCTATAGCTATAGAGCATTTTTATGGTCATGACAAAAGTAAAACACCTTCACAATACAGACTAGTCCATGGAACTTTATTAAAGGCACTTACTGATGAAATGAGTTTAAATCAAGAAGAAATTTCTGAGTCAGGTGAGTAATTATTGCATTGCACTTTAACTTTCATACTAAATTGATTTACACTTTGTATAATGAATATGAGGTATTGTATTTTTAGATGAGTTATTATTAGTAGAAATTAGGCCTGCTTCAGAAAAAGAAAATTTAACGAAAGATGTTTTGAAAGGTCCAACAGATGAGGAAATAATGAATGCCACCAGTCATCTGACAATTAAAAATCCTCCAAAGCCAGCAATAGACTCTGAATGTCCAGTAGATGTAAATTTTGATTTTTATGAATCATAATATTATATTGTTATTTGAGATTTAAAATGATTTACTTTTTTATGCAGTACCAGAGTGAAATCAGAAAAATATTAGTTACACTTGTCCAAGCATCAGCGAAAATTCTTATGTTCAGTCCAGATGCTGTGAAATTTTATGAATTTATTCGAGAAAAACTCGAAGCTCAACTGAGACCACCAACAGACCCGAAGGCTGTAAAGTATTTAGTAGAAATGGGGTTCCCAGAAAGTAAAGTATTAAAAGCATTGCGTCTTAGAAAGTAAGTTTTTGAAAAAAATTATTGTGTTGCAGTGCTGGTATTCTCTTACATGTTCAATAAATTATAGTTTTAATTTTTTTATTGCTTCTTATTATGGTCTTTTCAAAGAATGAATACATCAGAAGCATTAGAATGGCTTTTAGAACATCAAGATGATCCTGACGAAGAAGACAATTTAGAACTTCCAGATCTCGATGAAATATTAGCAAAAGAAGCGGGTCCTAGTACGTCAGGTGCGTTAAAAGGTGCAAGAAGAAGTTCTTTTAAAGAGTCTCTCGTAAAGCTCTTTAAAAAAAGTAATTCCATATTGGGCTGCACCTTATCATTAGTCTTTACAGTTGGTGGTGATTTTTTAAAATTTATTTTGTTTACAGATCAGGGGTCAACTAAAAAGGAGCCAAATTTGGTTCACATAGTGAATGTCCTTTTAGATAGCTATAGACAATATCAAAAGTTCAACTTCAAACCTAGCCCAAGCCTAGTAGATTCTCTAGAAGCAATGGGATTTGAAAAAGAAAATATACTGGAAGCCCTCAAAATTACTGGAAACAATCAAGCAAATGCTGTAAGTGTCGTTAGTTTAATAATTATTATTAATTTATGTTGAAAAGTATTAATTTATATTAATTTTTTGCATACATAACTTTTCTAGTGCGCATGGTTATTAGGTGAGAGAAGACCTAGCTTGCAAAATTTGTATGAGGGTATGGATCCAGATGGACCAATTTACAATGCTATAATGAATAACCCACAAATTCAACTCAGTCTCACAAATCCTAAAATGCTATTAGGTACGACTAGCTAACAGTAATAAGCTTTTATTTATTGTATATAAAATGGTACAATTAACAGTTACAATTTTCAGCATATTTATCTATGTTGGAAACACCTTTAGCGACAAACGCGTGGATGAAAGATCCAGAAGTTTCACCAGTTCTCACTCAAATCTTCAAAATTTACCATGCTGAAAAGCATGCAATCCACGTCAATCGTTATGATGATTCTAGCTAGCGTTGCCTAATGACTTATTACTCCAATATGTATCTATTTTTCATATGAAACTAATAAGAGCTTGAGTTAAAGGCTTTCCATTGAGTTAATTGATTATTGTAGTTCTAGTCATGGAAAAAATGACAGAATAGATTACTTGAAATCAATATTAATGAATAATTAGTAGTAACAAATGAAAGTAACCAAGACTTTAATTGCAAAATTATTTTATTCACATTTGATTGACTCTGATTTAATAAACAATGAAAATGAATTTTGTTGTAAATAAAAATGACATAGCTTTACTCAAATTTTAATTATGAGCAGCTTCGGTTTTGCCTGTTACGAAAATTATGTTTTGTACATTAACTAAATAGAACCGCATTGACGGTTTCCAAATTGTATACTTGATTAAACTAGTTTTAAGAAAAGCTGAATTGTTAAAAATTAAGTAAAGTACTTACATTTAAGTGCTGAGTTGATACATATTATTATCAATGTAATTTCTGAAGTAGTCCGATCGTATAAGTTTTCAATTTCGTCAGTGCACAATTGTTATTCCTCAACATGTATAATAATTCAAATTTCGGACATTTACCCAATATTAGGAGCATTTTGTGATCAACTACTATCGGAAGAGTAGTGGTTATAATTCTCACGAAAAGTTATGAATATATTATTTTCTACTGATGTTGTCAATTATTATTTTACCATTAAAATTTCTTCAAATTTTGAGCAACTTAAGTAGTTTTTATTTGTTCAAAAACATGCTTGTAGCCGTCTTTCATTTTTCAACACTGTAGTGGTACCGTTAAAATCTTTTTATAAAATTTTGTTGATTATTTTGTTATCTATATATTTTCCAAAGTTGCTGATTATTTGGTTACTTCTTAAGAATAACTAAATATAATCTTAACTTTATGAAAGGATTCTTTATTGTAATAATTTACTGCAAATGAATGAAGTATTTTTTTATATTTATCGCTTATTTTAAGAAAGTAGAAAAATACAAATGTCTATTAACAAGTAAAATATATAAGTATCTATGCATACATACAATTACATAAAAGCTTAATTCAGCCTTTGAATATTTTTATCTCACAAATTATTCGCAATAGTATTTGGAATAACGTAATTTCCATGATAATTCATTCTCATAATTCTACTAATAATAAGAGCAGCTCGCTCTTTCACCCGTACTTTTACTGTTGCCTTAGTAAGGTGCTTCCGCAGAGTATTGACGTAATAAGATTTTCTTTTATATGTCTTATTGATACGTTTCGATCAATGTCAAAATGAAGGACCACCAAAGAAAAAAAGCGCAGTTTTATCTGCCTTATCTCTAATATTTACGTTTGCGTTGTATTCGCGACCAATTCTGAAAACGTTCTACCACTCTTTAACAACTGAAAATGTTCTTCAAATCTCTGTGAAAGCTTTTCCTTATTTTCAGGATTTTCAACATTTACATCTAGATTGTATTTTTCTAGTAATGTTTTCGTAGGTTCTACATTTCTCATGAGTACAACGTGATACAATGAAAGATTAAATTCAAATAATTTCTTTGCTGCGTCTGCGATATTAACAGCACAATTACTATTCAAATGAAAAAACAATTCAATAATTGCTGTCAGCGTGTTTTTTGTATCCAGGGCCATCTGCAATACATTTTTGTCATCTTAATTTACCAGAAACACGTGCTAGCGTCAAATTGCAGAGAAGTATTATACTTTTGTAATCTTTATTTTCTACAGTTAACATTTATTTTGAACATCGACCTTCGTTGCTTTATTTATTAAATACTTTGATATACCTATATTCCTATAAAAAACTGCACGGTGTAATAATAACGTTGACCCGTAACTGTTAACGATGTTACACACGTCCACGTTCGAAAGTTTTAAAATCTTCTTGACTAGATTAACAATAGGATATGGGTTATCATGTTAAAGTATTATTTGCCATCTTCAATTCGGACCTGAAACAAACAAAAATCGTGTTTACTTTTTAGAAAACATTGTGATAACTCATAAAAATGCAAAAAAACTGAAATTTATAAAATGGAAAACGATTTTTTATAATAAAAAAGTATTTCCAAAGTCAATTTATTCGATCAGTAGCAAATTTTGTATTTATTTGTAATCATTTGCTTTAAAATGGAAAGTAAAATTTTATGTATAACGTTATATGGAAGATTAAAAACTAATTTCATTTTCAGTAGAATTTTTGAATTTTATTTGTCGTGATGTAGCTTGTATTAATACTGATTAATGGATTATGAAAAAAATGTCTTAAACTTAATAGCTATATTATTACAAAAATGTTATCAGCAATATAAAGATATTGCAATATGATAATCATTGAATTAATTTGCCGCCGTTCAAATGATCAAGTGGCTAAAGATCATAGTGCTTATGGCCAGTAGGAAACCATCACGAGAGTGACTTGACTAATACTAAAATGGAAAATGACCTATTCTATAAGCGCCCGCAAAATTAATGTTATAGCATTAATAATACAGACGACACAACATATTAAAAAAGAACATTTAACTTTTAACAAATTCTTTGAGATAAGTTGGAACTTAACATGTTCTTGTTAAATGTCGAGGAACTGAATCTTTTTAAACTTGCGGCTCATTCGCTTGTGATGGCTCATTTATTTGAAGTGGTATATTGATCGCCTGATGTAGTTGTCATAATAGTGACCCCTTTTGAATTGTGGCGCATCGGAGTCCTCAGGTACCCACAGCCATTAAAATGAAACGAAACGAAACGACTCATGATAAATAATTTCTGGTGTAACTTGCTGCTGAACTTGTTGATTTTGAACTTCTGATGAGAATGTTATTAAGTCTGCTATTGTTTTTGAACTATGCTCATGCTGACAATTATTCTGTTGATTTGATTGATTTAATTTCATTGATGATTAATTTTTTTGTTTTATACCAGTCTTGATTAATTGATCAATGTGACGTTTAAAGGTGTATAGCTTCCATTGTGTTTTATTGGCAGAATATATCTTGCTTATACACGCTCTCCCACGCTTAATTGTCGAGCTATTTTTTCATAAACTTGACTTTTTAAGAACTTAGTAGGTTTAATCACGTCTATAATTAAATTCTTAATTGACGATTCAGATATAATTCTGCAGACGACTTCCTATCTTTTAAAAGTATTGCTCAATATCTAAAAAGTATGTCTCGAATTTTTTCTTTCATTGAAGACTGTTCATTTGATATAGCTAAAAGTCGTTTTTTCAGTGTTTGTACATTTCTTTCAACCAATCCATTTGTAGAAGGATGTCCTGGGGCAATCAAGTCTTGAAAAAGACCAATTTCACTGCAGAATATTTTAAATTCATCGATGGTAAAAATCGTTGCATTATCTGAAACCATTACGTCCGTTTCAAGCAAAAACAATTTTAAGTATTTCAATGGTTGAGTTTGATATAAGTACTGAAATGCTGAAACCAATTTTTGCCAATTTCGATTTCGCATCATTATTACAAGAAAATGATGTCTTTGATAAGGCCGTGCATCATTGATATGTATACGCTACCAATTTTCCTCTAGTATGTCCCGCGGATGAAGTGGAGCTTTTGTTGGACTGTTCTTGTAAGGTATGTAAGCTTCGCATACCTGTTTCTTCATCGTTATTGCTTTGTTATCGTCGCGTGTATCGTCGCTTAAGTTCGCTGAAAAATAAAACTTGAACTTGTAAGGTTATGGTGATCACGTTGGGCGCGCTCGCTTGAAATTTCCGTGTGATTTGTCTTTTTTCTTTCTTGTAGTGAAAAAAAAACGATTCTTTACCTCACCACCAATTTGTTATAGCACTAATAATATAGACGACACTATATCAATAAAGAACATTTATTAATATTATCAATATGAAGACGAAAATCAATAATCTGAATGTATAAATGATAATTAAAATAAATAAATATACTATAACTAACACAGTGACTTTTTTATATAAGGTAACATTATAAAATATAACTAAACATATTAGTGAGTTTTACGTATCTGAACGCGCTGGAACGTGCCGGAACGCGCCGGAACGTGTCTAAACGTGTCTGAACGCGTCTGAACACGTCGGAACACGTCTGAATGCGTTTGAATACGTCTGAACACGCATATGAGGTCGTATTTTTATAAATTCCTATAAAACTAGCCTGCACAGAGATATAATAAGTGAACAGTTTTCATGCCTTGGCTTGAACTCTGTCCTACTCGACTCTAGCATCTAGTTAAGCGTCATAACAGCGCATGCGTTAGAGTCGTGCGAGTTAACTACACTATACTATAGCTTAATCTCGGTATTCTCGGGAAACGGCTTTGTCCGCTTTGTTGTAAGAAAATCGTAAAGCCCTAGTGCGAGAGAAATAAAGAGAAAAAATTTTCCATATAGAAAAAGCATAATCAAGCGTCACGGAGATCACCGAGCTGGATCATCATCATCGTCGACGACACCGGTCGACGAAACAAGCATCGAGTAATGGAACCTCATGGCTACTACGACTGCTGTTGATCACTGTAATTGTGCAAGTGCCACGAACTACAGAATAGTGGTGTACGCGCGTTATAATTCCGCAAGGACATAATTCTTCTCGGGTGGCTTGTTCGATATATTATTAAGTAATATATATATCTAGGGAGAACGAGAGAGAGAGAGAGAGAGAGAGATGGACTTAGTTCGTTTCTTGATACAATCACACGAACTTTACTGCGTGTTGTCATGTTTCTCTTTATGTGAGGTGATCAAGTGATAGGACTTTACTCCTTTATCCTCTTCATGGACTTTGCCTATACGTATTATATGTATACCTATACGTGTGCTTTGCCCTTTATTCGCTCTCCTACTTATGCTTCATCGTACACTCTTCAAATGAATTTATAGGACTTGAAAAAATCAGTTCAGATTCTCCCAGACGTCAAGTGATATATATTGTGTGGGATTGTTAAAGCATTAGACTTGACTTGAAAATTTACATGATATATATTGTACACCTATATAGTACACTTTTTGTTGTAATACATTATCAAAAATAATAATGACTCTCAATTGTACTAGGGAGCATTTCATAGAATATATTAACAAAATGGATGTTCAACTTTTGTTTGTAAAAGACAGAAATTTTCAACTCAATAAATCTGTCACAGAACTTTATTATTGCATCCCGAGGTTAGGTTTTTTTAATTTTTGTTTGTGTCATATATTATCATGTAATAACTAATAATTCAAATTCGTATTTTCGTGATAAATGAAGCTTTGCAGGGTATTGTTTAATTAATAAAACATCTACAAAGCTTATTTATTGGTTGTTTATATGACAAAGGGTATGAGATAGCGTACTCCAAGGATTTAAAAAAATAATAATCTAGGTTGAAAAAAAATTGAAAAAAGAAATAGCTTAAGCATAATTATATATTACATTGAAATTCAAGTAAATTACTAAAAACATTTTACTTAAAGATTTATGAATATAATAACAACCACCATGTTGAAACATTTTAATCATATAATAATGATCATCATAATAACATTGTTGGTTCTGTAAGAGAACCCCTAATATGTCAATTTTTCATTTTTCTTTCAGAAAGGGTATACGGTCATTGGTGTGTTACAATCAATTGACAAGCTTTAATAAGGATATCTATCCAGGGTGACATTGTATTTAATTGTAAGCCAATTAGGGAAATTTATAACAATGGACAAAGAAGCCGATGGTGACAATTTAAACGTAGATTGCATTGAGAATGATATTGGGGATGAGTTGAAAATTGGAGCTGATGAAACGTATGACACAAGGAGCGAGGTTTCTTCTAGTAGCTCAGAAACAGAGGATGATGACGAGGATGACGAGGATGATGAGGATGATGATTCCAGCCAAGATGATGATGCCAGTTCACAGTCTTCAAAATCTTCAAATCAAGATACTAAGAGAAATAATAAAAGTACAGGCAAAAGAAGATGCAACAGAGATTCATCATCTTCCAGTCCAGAACCTAAGAGAGCAAAATTGAAAGAATCAAAGACTAAAACACCTAACTCATCTTCCAGTAAAACCTATGACTATACTACGAAATTGAATTATTTATTTAGAGATACAAGGTCTGATTTTTTCATTCTAGATTATCTTTACTTTCTTTATAATTTAAGTAGTGATAAATAATTTCAAATTCTTTCAATAGGTTTTTCATAATTAAATCAAATAATGCAGAAAATGTAACATTGTCAAAAGCAAAAGGTGTCTGGAGTACTCTTCCACAGAATGAAGCAAATCTCAACCAAGCATTCAAAGAGTCTAGAAATGTGTTGTTGATATTTTCTGTTAAAGAATCTGGAAAGTTTGCTGGATTTGCTAGACTTGCAACAGAGTCCAAGAGAGATGGAAATTCGATATCTTGGGTATACACAATAAATAGATATGAATAAATTAACAATTGAGTAATAAATTAATCATTTAAATTTAATAAAAATATTGTAATATATAAACTTCAGGTCTTACCTCCTGGTTTGTCTGCTAAAGCTTTAGGAGGCGTTTTTAAAGTAGACTGGATTTGTAGAAAAGAGTTGCCTTTCACATCAACGCTTCATCTGTATAACCCATGGAATGATGGTAAGCAAGTAAAAATTGGACGTGATGGACAAGAAATCGAACCACGAGTAGCGGAAGAGTTATGCAGACTATTCCCTGAAGATGATGGTAAGATAATCTTCTGAAATATTGTAAAATATTTCAATACTTCTGTTTCATGTTGTTTTCGATTTATGATTACAGGGATAGAGATGACTCCTATTTTACGTAAATCAAAAGAGGCTTCTAAGAATGTGGTGAAGTCTATAAACAGAAATCACCGCGATACCAGATCTGTGATAACATCGAGGTTTATCCGTACGCGAGGTAGAGGACGCCGGTTATTCCTTACATCGAGATCGCGACTGGCATCACTGGCAAGAGGTGGACATTTGCCAAATGATCGTAGAAATTCTAGGGACCATCATCGCTACACTGGCTGGTTCAACCGAGGAGATTATTCAAAGTAACTTGCATTTTTTATATTTATATATACGTGAGATGGAATTGTCGCATTGGATAATGTACGGGATATTGTAGGTATCAATCGATTATCTATAAAAAGAAATTCACACCAACAATAGGAAATATAGAATCAATATTAGTGATAATATTATTTATATTAATTTTATACAAGTGATTGAATTTTTAATTGAGAAAATTACAGAAGAAATTTTTCTGAATGCATTATACCTTCTTGTCGCTTTTCACTACCAAACAATTCTATTTCTAGGGGCTATGGCACAACTTTAGGAGTTGCAGCAGCTGCCGAAGCCTACGTAGCTGATTACATGCGAACAATGCAACATCAACTTCCACCTCTACCCCCATATGTAAGTTCTCTGCCATATGACACCTTACCACCGCCACCACCACCACCACCTCCAAGATACTACGAGGGTCTGCCATTGCCACCGGATTATGGTGCGGCGGCAGTTGCGGCAGCGGCTGCAGTAGGAAGTTTGGAGAAACGCAGTTATGAGCGTAGCGTGGATGAATTCCTTTGGCGTACTTCAAGTAGTGGACGTCACGGACGACATGAACATCGATCTTCGCGTGATCATCATCATCATCGGTACCGTGAGCGCAGATAGATTCGATGTCGTGTGAAGGTTTAATTAATATTTCTTATAGTTTTGGTTCTCGAGGAGTACTAGCTACAATTATCCGAATATTTCTTTTTTGAGCGTTAACTATTCGTCGAGACAATGCTGTGAAATGTGTTCCAGAGAACGTCGAGCGCGACGTACTTCTGTTACGGAGCTTTTTCTTTGTGCATACAAAAATTTTACTTTCCTAGTAAATATACTCGATTTAAATATTCAATTAATTCGCTGTCTTTGTAATTTCTTTAGTGGGTTATTTTTATAGCGACTTATTCTACTCAGATTTGAGTTAAGCTAATAAAAAGCTTATAAATTTTGTTATTCATGTTTCAACTGTATCCTTAAAACCGAATTGAAAATGTTAAAAACATTTTCAATTTAGACTCAGAGATCCAATCAGGTATTTCCGAAGGGTTTTAGTGCGCTGAATCCAAATTTGAGCTCAGAATTACTCCATCACTCTCAGTTTTCAAGATAAACTAATCTAAAAGTGTCAAAAACACGGTTTTTTGCTGTTTTCCAACCTTTGTAATTTTGTAAAGAATTTTTTTTTTTTTTTTGCAAATTTGACGATGGCATCTTCGAGAGCAACTTCAAAACGTAATCCTCATTTTTTCTAACAGAAATATACATTGAAGTGTGATCAATTGGCATTTTTGTAAATGTCATTTAAACACAGAAAAGTTTCGCTTTAAGATAATCTTCGCTGGAAAATAAAATAATATCCCAAGTATCTTGACCAAAGAATCCTGTACCCTGCTAGGCAATAACCTCAGCTTGCTACATTTCAACTACCTGAACCCAAGATCCCTCTACTCTGCAATAATCTCCGACCGCTACATCCCAAGTTTCTGAAATCACTAACCCTGTACCCTGCCAGGTTTACCACTATTATCTTTCAGCGACACTTTCCTCTGCTTAAACGACATTTGCGAAAATGCAAATTATACTTCATATATGGTCCCGGTGTGCCATTACCTGTAAATACTGATTCATCCACATAGTTAATGAGCACCGCACGTGTTGAACGTAATCCTTGACGCGTTTCGCTACTCGATTGCAGCAGATGCACTTTATACACGTTTGCGAGTATTCGAGTTGTGGATTAACGAAAGGTTGTTCTCCGTTTCCATTGGTACCGTTCGCATGCCTCGTTTCTTAACTTGAACAATCTAGATGTGATCTCATACACGGTTAATCTGGCCCGAACGTAAGCAATTGCTAAATACGCCCTCGGGCTACGGACAATCGTCGAATAACTTTGCACGTTGATAGTAGTATTTAGCTGAATTTTAGCTCTCGCCTTCTCGTCGCTATCCAAACTCCATGTCAGTGTTTCGAAATCCATAATTTGGCTGTCAGTCAAATTTGGATGAAGTGCGATTGGATAGTGTCTAGTACTAATCACATACAAAATGCTAAGAGGATGTTCAGCCTGATAGTATGACCGATAATTAGGGTCAACATATTCGTATGTTTGCACGCATTCGCAAATTATTGGCACGGGGAATTCATGCAATAACTCAATGTCGTTAAGATAGTGATTCAGTAGTTGATTCATTACCTGTTTTATGCTAAGTAGATTGAATTCTAGGTACACTTGCTTGAGCCATCTTAAGGCGTTGTATATGACCTCAGAAAGGGGCCTATTCTTTGTGAATACCTGAGTTTAGTTAGGGTAACTATCTGGTGTCTGTAAGACATAGTGCTTATAAACGTATACGTTCAATACGACCGGTGCCTATTAACCGTGTGGATGAATTAGTATCTACAAGTAATGGTACGGTGAGACTATATCTTCGAAACCCTATCTATTGGAATCAAGAACATCAAACGTTACAAACTGAGAGTGATGGAGCAATTCGCATAAAATCTCTTCGGATATACCTTGTTTGGTCTTTGGGTCCGAAATTTTTTCAAATTTTGTCGATCTGTGAAATCTAACACTCGATTCTTTGAAATAAAGAAGTATTATTGGTCTTATTAGTAAAAGAGCTTCGAGCATAATTTTGCCTAAATCTTTATTCCCAATAAACAAATTTAAATGGTAACTTTTCATTTCTTGTAAGCATCGATTTCGAAATATGTGTGTGATATGTAATGAATTTTAGGTAACCTATAATTATTTTCATGCACTTTTCCATTTTGAAATTAAACGCAACTAGATTAGTATTTTTAAAATAACAAGTGGTTTCACTTTGAGTCAGTTTGAAAAGCAATATTAATTTATAATCTTTATTAATATACGTTGAATTGAAGTATAAAGTTATATGAAGTATAAACAGGCCTCAATATGTAATTGCTGTATGACGAAAAACTAATTCCGAATGAAAGAAAAATTATTATTTACTATTTTCATGCTATGAATATTTTTACTTTTTGATGTGAAATTTCTCGTGTACGTTAATAAACTCTTCATATATCGTCTGTACGTAAAGATATGTTGCTTTTTACAATGATTCTGTTCAGTCCTTCATATCTTGTCATAGTTTGACATATGTAAGTCAACCAACCAATGTATTACGAAGATTAACTAGAAACTAAATCAGTTTGCAATTTAGTTGATGTAGATAGTTGATAAACAGCGGCCAGATTTAAGCATAGTTTTTTATGTATATAAAAAGTAAATATCTATATTTCTCTGATCGTTTTTGACGCTTTATCAAAATAGTTTACACCCTATACTTCGTTACAAAAAAATGTACATCTTATGCAACAATGATAAATAGTGAAGTTGAGTAAATATGTGATCCGAAGAACAAGCTACTTTATAAATCAATATGAATATTTTTTTTTAAATACATTTATAACTTATATCTCAGACACATAGTTTGTCACTACAGCAACAGACAAAGAAAACATTTTTTTCTAACTAAAATGTTATGCTGTATACGACTTTTTATACTAAACAATACGTAGCCACCACTTGAAACTTTTGTGAAAAATGATTTTTAAGCAAATAAAGTGGCTTGCAGTGTACTGAAATCCCGAGTTTGTAATTCGCACGTCCTTTGCACGAACGAACAGATAAAACATAAAATTTATTGGTGTACGAACGTGGTTAAGTCCATACAGAAGCCATTGTCTCTTCATTAATTACTCAGAACAATGACCAGTGCATTTGTTTTTCTTGTTCCACGTATACATTTATCCTTGCAGGTCAATCTGCCGTACTGAATACGCTACTATCTAATCTGCCGTACTGAAAAAAGCTGAATACGCTAGTTTGATACGCTAGCATGATAGCATCTGTTATGCATGTCGTCCCGCATTTTGCAGATAGCAAAGCACGAAAAGCTAGATTTCAACATTTTTTAAAGTATCGTGGGCATTTCATATATGTGGAGAATCTATAGAGCTTAGCTTAAGTTTGACTACGTACTATGGTCATTCGCCGCGCTGAACTTTTGCAGAAGCCTAATAAATTATGGTTCCAGTAATGTTCACATACGTTGTCGTAAGTTTCGATGGAGATGACGAAAACTTATTTATTCGCGTCATCTCACAAGGTATTACACATCGTGCTATCATAATAAAGAACATTTGACGTCAATTCTTGTTCCAATTATACCAAGAGGAAAATTATTAGTATTTCGTGAACAAACAGTATATAGATTTGTATGAGTGGATAGCCGGCAAGCATTGTTTACGAATAAACTTGATTTGAATCAATAATTTGTTGAGCTTATGTGAACATCACGTAGAAATGTATGTTTTCACCTCTTTACGATCAGTGATATTAATCCACAGGAAAGTAACACTTCCAAATGAAGATTGATTGCTGGTAAAATTCTTCGTGCATTTCGGTATTGATTTTCACTGAACCATAAACTTTTACATCGGTTTTACCTTCACCACATTATGTTTTCTTCAGTCATTTGTTTGTTTACAAATGCAATGTTACTAACTTTCTCTTAGCCAGGTGCAATGCTAATATTTAAATATTGTCAAGTTACTACGCGTAGGCTTAAGATATTTGAGGATACGATAGTTACACACTTTAAGACTGGCGAGTAAGGACTTTGCGCTCAAACAGAAATTGCCGAACAATATATTAAAGTTCCAAAGCTGTCGCTCGCACGTCCTTAACGCGAAAATAAGGAGCCTGAAAGATAAAGATTTATCGCTCCACGAGCATCCACGCCTACAACATATGTGCGCGTTTCGAGCGGAAGCTGTTGTTTCGTCGTCAGTCCAAGATTTGGAGCTATGTTGCTAAGACCGCAGTACACTTGCTTTTTAATAGCTTTCGTCGCTTGCATCGGCGTTAATTTACTCATCATTCGAATCCAAAGTTCTTACGTGCCCAGCAGCGTTTTAGCTTCTCTGCAAGCCTACAACTCGGATTTGTCGAGAGAGCTGTTCGATACAAGTATTGTTAATGTAGAACGGGACAAAATCACTGCTTTACCATCGCTAAGAGCTGATCGGAATCTTTCGACTCATTCAAAGGTAAATATGCAAATAGTGTATTCGCCTCGAAGCGAACTCTCTTTCAGGATAACGATAAAACGTTGCAGCAAGTTTTGGATATCTGCGCAGAGAACAATTTGAGAACAGCGGTCACGAGGAGAAATTTTTTGTACAGCTCTGAAAATCATGGCTTGTATTGTTGGATCAGGAAAGCCGGCTCGACGAGCTTTACTAAATTATTCACTGATATGAAGCACCGAAGGCGCTCGGGAAATTATTACAGGTAAAATGCCGATCAACGTGCGTCTACTTGTTAAAGAAAACTGTTTTCAGAATTTCATTTTAGAGAAATTCCGTTTCTGTCTCCAAAAATACAACTTTCGTTGAAAAGTCTGATAAAAAATCCGCGAATATTTAAGCTGCTGGTAGTGAGACATCCATTCGAGAGAATAGTTTCCGCATACAGGTATTCTTAATAATTTTACGATTTATAAAGTTACCTAGCTCTAATTAACGGAGGAAAATTTTTTCGACATAATAGAGATCGAATAGAAGACAATAGCAAGTACACAGCTCAGTCCTGGATTCACGTTCCAAAAATATTTCACCTAACGAGACCTGATTTATTTGTCACTGTTGGTATGTTTGACCGATCATTATCGAGAATATTCCACGAAGACAAGAGGTATATTTATCGTCATTCATGATTAGCCTCGTAAATCGTTTGCTGACTGCAAATTTCCTTTCTTGCAGACTAAAATTAGTGCCAACTTTTCAAGAATTCATAACGTGGCTGCTACTGCAGGATTCAACTAAAGATGATCCACATTGGAATCAGTATTTCAGGCACTGTTCACTTTGCTCGGTGCGTTTTGATTATGTTCTCAAGCTGGATAACTACACCAAAAAAGAAGTCGATTATATCTTTGACAAATTACATTTGAATAATCAGTTGAGCTATTTACCAAAGTTAGAACAGTCAAGGAAAGGAATAACAAATTTCGACGTAGCTTGCAATTATTTTAAGAATCTATCTAAGGAAGCAGTTGTCAATTTATATGAAAAATATAGAATCGATTTTGAAATGTTTAATTATGAGTTTAGCAAGTACTTCGAATGCACAGGAGACTAAATAAACATCAACTTCATTTTTTTACAATTTTCATATGTTTCTATTCACAAAATGATATCTCATCAAAGAATGAGTGTGCAAAATATACTTTTCGTATGAAAAAACAGAAACAATGCTGTCGATTTACATTCATTAGATTCATAAATAAGTTTAAGGTTCTAATCTACGTTTGTTTCTATCAGCACGTAACGAAAGAAAAAATTCATTATCCAAATACAAGGAACAAGAAAAAAAAGAGAATTATTAGTTTACAATTAGTTAAACAAAAAAAATTGAAATATTAAATCTGGTTAGTAATCACATGGCCATCGATATTCTCGTCATCGTCGACGATATAGCAGTCGTCATCGTCATCTGTTGGAGCGACCGTTTTGTGTTTGGACGTTACCGACGAGGATGATGACGAGGATGACCCACTAAACGAATTGGAATCCTGTTCTACTATGCATATGTCGTCGTCACTGTCGTTTGAGCTGTGATTTGCTTCGACTCTTGGTTTTTTGGTTAGTGTATCCGATACCATCTCATTGGTCTTACGCTTTCTAGCAATCGGTGAGACTTCCATGGGAGTGGACTGAAAAATCGATATTTTCGACATTAAAATAGTATAGTCTAAATTGTAGAATTTTACAAATTTTAAAAGTAATATTTACTTGTCCATTCGAGGTAGACGGTTTCTCAGCAACATTGTTCTCCTCTGCTTTAGGCTTCAGATCTTCAGCATCAGCAGTGATGACAAACTCGGGTTCGGTACTGTTGGGGGCCGGCTTATCCCGATGAACAACAGTAACTTTGAGCGAATAGTTTTGCAGAAAATCATCGACGCTGAGAATTACTCCATCAACAATTCCAACCTCCTCGAGAACTTTGTCGTTATTCTCCTCAGTCTCTCCTTCCTCACTGCTGATAACTACAATACCTTTGCCATCGATCAAAACGTCTGGAGCAATCATGTTCATGCCGGCTTTCAATACTGTGTCCTCCAATTGTTTCACAGTCATTTTTTTCACGTCGGTAGCGAGGGCAGCTGTTGGCATGCTGGCACACACGTAGCATTTAGGATTCGGTGCGTTGATACACTTTTCCGGTACGAGCAGTTGATTCTTGTGGTTCATTTTGGGACGGAGGTAAACGGACTTGCAGTCTTCCAGTTTGTTCAACAACACACGGAAAGCATGGAGAACAACAACTCCAGCTATTATCGCATTTGTCGTTGCTATGGCTGGAATGATGTTTCCCGCCATTGCTGAAAGAAATAAACGAAACATAAGACACTGTTCTAAATAATTTCTTCTCACACTTTTGAGTACTTACATTTGATCTCGAAGCGTGTCTTCTGTGGAATGCCAAAAATATATGACCTGATGTTGGCGCACGCAGCAACAAAGTCCATGGCAGTTGAGTCATCTTTGTCCCAGACTAAATTATCGGTCGCTGATTTTTGTCGGCAAGCGTAGAATGCTTCGCTTAAATTCTTAATAGACTCCGAGAAAATCGTTGCACATTGCGCTATACTCCACTGCTGCTGATCCCGCAAAGTTGATTCTTCTGTACTGTTCTTGGTAACTAAAGAATTTTTATTAGACTTAAAATTCAATATTATACGTTTAATGTTGAAGTATCTTACCTTCACATGGCAGATTATTCCAGTCTAAAGGAACAGGTGGTCTACGTTTCTTCCATAAGTTATCCATGCTCAAAAGATATCTGATATCTTCATTAAACAACTTAGTAAACAACTTTTCAGGATTATAGCTTGTAGATTGTGCCCATGTTCTAGTCGATACTCGATCAACATTCCCTTGGTTATTAGCCTCAGTTTGCAGAGCATCTTTTCCAGCAGTATCTAAATATTTGTAAAAAATAAATGAAAAATACACATCAAAATACAAGCATATATGAAAATTATTTCAAAGAAAAACATACCTCCAGCGGCTTCAGGATCGGCTGTATCAGGTGAAACATCTTGATCTGGATCTTCTTCTCCAAACAGTTGACTAAAAAGTTAACATAATTATTTTCAAAAAACTGTTTTATATTTTAAAGTTGAATTAAAGTTTGAAACCTACTTAAACAAATGCTTAGCCCAAACTATGCAATGAATAGGCTCGCTTGGTGTATTACGAATGGTACATCCAGGGAATGTCTTTTGTGCTACTTTAGGAGTACACTCATAACATTGAGTGAGTCCTTTCTTAATTAGTTCTACCTGACCATCGTAACCTGCAGTTCCTGATTCAATCAAAGGTATATCTGCTGCTAAGCACATGCGATTAACATGATTCCTTGCAGCCCTATTGTCCAGTGCATTCATAACAAATGTGAACTGCTTAAAGTAGTTGACTCCATATTGTGAACTAAAATAGCAGAAATATTTATATTAATAATAGTAAACGTGTGATTTAATAATCTAGTCATTCTTGTCTTTGTTTACTTACGTTGTAATGCTATCATGGTGATATACTATTTTGACATCTGGATTGAAAGTCAACGCAGTTTCTCGAGCCACAGCAGCTTTTGATTTTCCGACGTGTTGTTTTTGAAATAAAAATTGTCGGTTCAAATTGCTCACGTCAATTGTGTCGAGATCAATCTGAAAAAATCAAACAACACGGTCGAATGATATTACTCACTTAAAATGCTGTTATAAATATTTATTCCATCATTGTCATCGATTTAAGTTATTCAAAAAAAATATTTCAAGTACATAACAAGTGTTTATAAAACTCAATAATTCCAAAACCGCGGTGTTTAGAACAATAAAGTGAGGTTATATTACGATGGTGTTTTCGTTGAAAGGCCGATCCAACTTACTATTTCGATATCAGGAAATCCAGATAATACTAGATTTTTTAAGATCTCACAGCCGATTCCTCCAGCACCGACCACCAGCACTTTACTCTTTAGAATTGCATTTTGTAGATCTTCGTTAAAGACACCTTCCACTGACGCTGCCATTTTCGGCTTTTCGCGCTGACTGGATTGAACTCACTGAACGCTGCGCGGGGTGAACAAGAAGCCGGCTTCTCTAAAGGTACGCGAACGCGTTGGCTATAATGCTATGCCCGTGATCGTGGTGGATTATGAAGCGGCACGAGTCAAGAGAGTGAGGCCAGTTAGCCTGCGATAACTCACAAATATACCATTTTTTTTTACAGACAAATCTATTCGATATTGGTATATATTTGATGATTTTTTTTCAGGAAATGGTTTTTTACTAGAAAACAAGAAAGAAAAATTAATTTTGTCGAAGTAAATGATATATTTTTGTTAGAATCGTGAAATGTTCGGTACACTTTTGAAGATGTTTAATAAATACGTGAATAGTGAATAGAAGTACATATAAAAATTGCACTGGCACTTCAATGTAAATTATCAAAATTTCCAATACTAATAATTCAAATAAGAGTTCCATACTAAAGCATTAAAAACTAATGGAATACATAAAATCATATGAAATTATATACATTTATTATTTTTAAATTATTTCGAAAGCATATTTTTGAATATGTAAGTCATATGAGTTTGTTGTATGTGTGTGTATGTGTATCTGTATGTGTGTATGTATGTGTATGTGTATGTATATATGGGGTATGGTAATAATTCTGTTGTTAAAAAGATAGCAGTTTGACAAAAGTGTACAGTGGTTGTCGATTGCTATTAGTGTAGCAGTCTTCTTCTACATTATATCTGTACTGAAAGATCCTTTAGTCGCTGTCATCAGAATCATCTTGTGAGCTTTGTATGATTGATGGAATACAGGATTTATCACGAAGTATACCGTGTTCAATGAGGAAAATCTCTACATCTGAAGCATAGAAATCATCTCCAAGTTCATTGGAGAGATTAACAAAGTTTTCAATCATATGGCAATTTTTATATGCTAGTAAGGCAGGTACCCCTTCCTCTTTGAAGTGTTTGCTAACACCAACAGCAGATGCTAAAATAAAATACAAATTCATGTAAAAAAATTGGACAAATTTGAGCCACAAAGGTATAGGGCATGCGACTCACCTAGTATTTTACAAAATTTAACAAATGGATATTCCTGAGCAAGAATTGTTAAACAGCCATTCATAGCTTCGCAACTAAGAATATTTTTTTGGTAAATGTGAACAATTATTGTGACAGATTTGTCCTCTTCATCGATGGCTTTTAGAAATTGTTCGGCATCATCCAAGTGGTAAAGGGTGCCAAAGCGTAACTTTTCAGCTTTGGCAAGCATTTCTTGCATTCTCTGTTTCTGATAAGACAAGAGGAATTCATCAGCCATGAATTCAGCAAATTCTGGATCAGTCTTGAGCATCTTTTCTCTTTCTTCGTCTAGAGCGCTACGACAGGACAAACTAAGATGTTTCATAAGCTCCAATCTTGTCCTTTCTGCCTCTGCTCTCTTCTCGGTTTCTAATTGATTAAAACGTTGCCAGTCCTGCAATAGGAAATAACAAAAACATTGATTATTAAGAAAAGTGTTTGAATGAATCCGCACAGAATACATGTGAATAAAAACATAATACCCTGATGACACCCTTAGGACCAGTATTGCTAGAAGTCCCATCCCACTCGGAAAAGTCCATTGACGGTTGCTTATCCGGCATATCCGAAATCTTAGATCCGTTCTCTTCTCTGTCAGAGTCGCCCGAATCGTTCTCATCGTCGCTGGAACTACTGCAGTAATACTGCATCTTTTCGCCTAGAATTTTATCTTCGAGCGTTGCCATGATTATTATTGATCAACTGCTGTAGGTACACGGTAGGCCTTGATGAACGTCAGAATAATGAACTAGGTTAAATTGTTTATAATTGCTGAGTACTGAGTATTTTCTTTTACGACTTCTTCGGAACTTGCGGGTACATCTTGTCGATCGAAGCCATAAAGGGTGTGTATCAGCGAATGATTCCTTGATGTAGATTCAACAGTTTTCGCGCACTTAAATCATTGTTTCATTCACACTTGCACAAAAACTATTTAGAGTCTGAACAATTTAATTGAGTACTTTATTTGTGTTTGTATTGTTGTAGCGCAGCAGAAGCAGAAGATGCGTCGACTAAATATGCATAACACACACAACATGCATACGCAATGAGTTATGAATCATCTTTATCGACTGAGAAAGTTGGGTGTGGATATGTAGATTGTGGTATTTATTGGATTTAATAGGTGGTGGTAGCACTGCGAGCGATTTCCGCGGGATTTCTTTTCGAATGAGAAATGATTTTCTATTTATAGGTATTTGTTTTCCACGTCAACTTTACAAATATTCCTCTATAAGAAAAAATATTTGAAGCTATTTACTATGTGCATTATAATTTATTAAAGATGAAACAAATTGTCATTTGAAATCTTAACTAGCGAATATATTATTCGATAGAGAGGCATTTTTCATTTGATTGTATGTTTCTCACGTTCTTTAAATTTTCAAGGTTGAAATAAGATTAATTTTTCATGGATTATTGCAATTACTGTATCGTAAGCGTTGTAAGATAACACCCGGAAGTTCAGTTTAACAATGCGAAAAGGGGATTGATTGAATTTCGCAATCTTGTTGAGAAATATCTTATAATTTGTAGAATGCTAACTTCTAAAATAGTTAATTTCATCAAATATTGACGTTACATGAAGAAGATAAAATTGCACTGTTGAGATTTAAAAAAATGTATGTCACAGAAATGTTCATAATCGTGACGATCGTTTTTCCGTCGTGTCGATAGCTAATTATTTTACTTTTATAATAACAGTTTTAGCACTGTTATAATTATTAAGTTTTACTACTCCCACTGCATCATTTACTGCGACTTGGTGCTCAAAAATTTTATTTAAAAATAATGAGTTTTAGATTTTAATAATGTTTTTAGCAAAGTTTTATTGATTGGCATTGTAGATAAAAATTGAAAGAAAAAATACCACATATCTATATCTCGTGTTGGAAATATTGATAAGTTAAGCGCGCAAACTTTCCATTCTAAAATAAACTTACGCTTATGCAAACCTGAACTTGTTTAAGAATAAAACGAGCAAGCATCCGAAGCTTTGAGCGATATTAAAAAAAATTTGTAATTTGTCGTTTATAACCGCTAAGATAGCAATCGAGCAAATAATTGTAAACGCGTGTTATGCTGCATTACGTTCAGGAAATGGGATAAGATCGCGTCAAATGAACTTTTCGAAGCAAAGTATAGTTGGTCGCGTCACACGAGAAAGCTCGAGAAGCTCGTTAGTTTCGGTTGCGCGAGACTGGAGAGCGACGAGTCAAAAGGTCGAGCGACTGATAAGTAGAGGATCCCCAGCGGATCTCCCCCGTACGGTCGACGCTTTATTACGCTCTCGCACTTTGATTACTTCTCAACGACTGTCAAACTATTTGCTTGTTGCCTGTATGACGTCTGCTTCTATACGTAGTTTTCTATTCGCCTTTGGTCAACATATATCGCGCAGATGATTGCTTGAGCTTTGAACGCCGGCTTCGTCAGTTTTGACTTGCTGCGTCGACTTTTCTTGCTTCAACTTGCAGTATCATCGAATAATTGCATTTCAACTTCAACTATTTTCATTCGTGCGATTGCGTAGTCAGCTCGGCCAATAACGGCAATAGCTACCTGCCACGAGATCCTTCTATCTTGGCAATATTTGATCGTAGAGCTCAAGGTTTGCCGCATCGTGCGATTAGTTCGCTTCAATGCGAGTCATCGGAGAAAAAGTAAAACTCGCCGCATATTTTTAATGGCTGGCTGCTCGTCAGCGCCAAGCCAAGCGTATAGGTGTGACGCTAAATTGGAAAAACAAGTTGGCTTTGAGCGGACATGACATAAGGCGACAAGTCGCATAAAACCGATACAGTTCTGATCGCAACGCCTTGGAGATTGGCCATTGGGGCCTATTCGATCGCGATCTCTGCGCGGTAGTCAATTCCTTGCTTTCCTTCGTACTTCAGGCAGTCAACACGAGCGAGCTTCCGTCGTTGAAAGTAGTACGTCCACGAACAGATATGATATTACACTAATGTCTAATGTCGATCGTGACCATGATGCGTTACTTTAACTCACAACTAGAACACCACACACTTGGTTAGGTAACCAACGTGTTTTTCGACGTGTTTTTTCATCTTCGCCTCGCTCTTAAAGGTCGACGGTAAAAAAGATAGCCAATTAAGGCGCGAGCGGCGAGCCTCTTCTCATTCGGCGCGCGCGCCATGAATATTCACAAGATAGGCGACCGAGGCGAAAATTAGGGGCTCGACTACTACATTGTTCGACTACTCGCACTACTCGCTCGCGGCTTTTAATTATGACCGAGCGAGTTCAACCAACCGATATCGCGGCGCTTATTTAATCCAATTCGCCCTCTTCAGCCGAATCCTCTCTTGCGGCGCGCTTGTTTATGGCAGATAATCGCTCGGCGAGAGAGAAGCTAGATGATAAGCGACGAGTGCCCTGCGCTGAATTTCAATGCGCTTCAATTTTTCTCTTGCTCGCGGCTCGCCACATTTCACATGGCAAAAGTGGAATGCGATAGCCAATTTACTTCACCCCACTGATAGCAAAGTTCACGCAACTTCTTTGTGTTGTTTTCCATCTCCTCGATGAAAATATCGTCGCTGGCGCGGCAGATTTCGTATTGCGTCGCTCGGAAGTTGTGCGTCACTCGATGAAGAGCGACCGATTCAATAAGCCGGCAGGCGATTGCGCGTTTCAAGTGCAAACACCAGCCAGCCAGCAAGGCTCATTACCGCCAATTGGCATTCCGGCTGAAGAGAGTTCCGAACAGTCTTTTAACCATGCAACAGTGCATTCGCGTGTTTTATTAATCTCAGAGTCCTACCGCTTGCGTCTCTCTTTGTACTCGCTTAGCGAGCGCAGAATAATCTGTATTCGTCCTCACACTTCCTTCAAGTTCGGCTCTCAAGCCTTTCAGTCATCCCAATTATAATGGTTGTCGTGCACACTTTATTCCAGTTTGTTCTTCATTAATCCGCGAGTCTTTGGATGTTTAAGTAATGGTAGACTGAAACGGCAAAGCTACGAAGATGCACGTATTAATCTTAGTCATACGTGTAAAGTCGGATAATTGCCGAATTGATGAAATTCAACAAGAAGTCGTTTTGGCTCCAAGCGCCGCGGGCCAGTACGCGGCATGGGGAGGATGTTTGTAGCGCGGGATAGTACAAGGCCGAGGCAGCGAGCTTCGCGTAGCGTGCAAAAAAATGTTATAATCTTGCCATTCAAGTGATAAACAGTACGGTACTTTTATTGATTTTACAGCACATCGCGCAACGTCACATCCGCGGCCTCGACGCGGCTCCGTGTGTGACGGGGCCGTATCTTTTGGTCCCAGAACGCTCAATCTACGTTACGACGCGGATCTCCTTTCGCGGCTGTGCAGATTATTAGTTTACAGCCTAGCAGATCAGCGGCCAGGATAGGGCATGCCTGGGAGAATCACTCGTTCGCGCTCCTTGCTCGCTCTTCAAAAGCGTTTAGAAGCACCACGGCCGGGAGATGTTGGCGGATGCTCGTGGTGCGGGATGGCATAAGGCCGAGTTGGCCGACACAGCTACACAAATGTATACAATACAACAATGAGTGCTTCAAGTTCATTAGCCTCCTCGCGGCTATACCACCTATTTACCGATCGAGGAGCGCGCTCTGCACCTATATTAACTCCAATACGTCCGCTTAGGCTACCAAGGCAATTTATTACGCATAACTAATGCAACCAATCCTTACGATTCATTAAAAATAATAAGTCAAGATAACATGACCGCCGATCGATTTTAGAAAAAGCAACCCTAGCTTCAAACGGCGCGCCGCGCGCCGCACGGCACATGGCAATTGTTCCCACCAGGAGCGTAAGCGTAGCGTCGAGTCTCCCCATTTGCCAGCTGCGATTCTAGGTCAATGTCGTCTATACGCTGTGGATCCACTTTCACTGGACTAGCTGTATAGTCCGCGATTGTGGAGTAGCAGCTAGCAGGGGCTCGACTGCGTCGACGATAACAGTGTGGATTTTTCGGCAGCGCGCTCGCCACAAGTCGCTGCGTGCAGTCGCGTATCCGTTCGAATCGCTAGTGTGCCTCGCGCGCCAGAGTGTGTGCACGGGCTAGCGGCTATGGGGGACTCTGGCAACGTCACTGCGGCGCTCGATGAAATCGATGTCAAGTGTGTTTGCAAAGGATGCTTCGAAAAGTAAGCACTGGCGTTTCATCGTTTCATTTTTCACTGCGCGCTCTTCTCGTCGGTCGCTTCGCCCGACTCACCTGACCCGCGAGCGGTTTCGCAGCAGTGGCTGGCATCGATCGATCGTTCATTCGAGCGCTCTCAACCACGCCAATAGCGCCAATAGCGCCAATAGCGCTCGAGCCTAGCGGAAGAAAACGCCATTCGCTGCAAACGGGAAAAAAACAATTTGAAGAACTTACGCAAATGGCGAGTATTTGAGAAATACTTGACCGATTACGATGCGGCATTGCCGAACGAGGATAAGGAAAAGCGAAAGTGCGATAGACGGATAAAACAAATCGGTAGCTTGCGAAGAGACAAGATTTCATGACGTCACAAAAACTAAATGGTATCAATTGCTATGACTGTTGAATTCGCCTGACCGGGATTCGCTGGATAATTGCTGATAATTTTGTCGCGTGGAAAAAACCAAAAAAAAATTATATTGCACACTGGCCTACTGCAATAGGTTGTATAATTATCATTAGAATGTCATGTTATCCGTTTGCAAGTGATCTTTCGCTTTGTTCGTTAACTATATAAGTAACATCGATGACAATATTGTTCTTAAAATCGCCGCACGAATGACATTGATAATTTAAAATCAGGTAGTTAGTTGAAAGCAGCATCGAACAGTGAATTTCGTAATCAGCTCCGCCTCTGGTGCCGTTATCAGATAAGTCGTTCGAGCCTCTAGTCCGAACCACGTGACCGTAAATCACCCACGGCTTGTGACAATGAGAAAGGTTAAAAAGAACATTGTTCGCCACTTGTTCGCTGGTATCCATCGTGCAGTAGGAAAATTCTTTTCCCCACGCAAGCGTAAAAAAAGAGCAAACTTTTCGCGAGCGATAAACGTGGAGATTCTCTCTGTTTTTATGACAACGTCAACACAATCGGTACTTTTAACGCGTGGATATCTCGGCGTATACTTACAAACACTTTACCGTTGAAAGCAGCCGAGATAGTGGCGTTCTGCTGTGACTTTTCTTTTAGTTGCCCCTCTCCCATGTATAAGTATGAGAGCAATTATTCTTCCGTTCTATCGCTTTCCACGCGTATGCCTCCACGAACGTCGGATTGTCTATATTTTCAAGTGACCTCGCACGAACATTTTATTGTTCTGTTTTTGTGCGTACATTTTGCTCTAAATTGTCCTCCTGCTTTCGTCACTCTTTTTGGCTTTTTTTATAAACGCGCCAGCAAATTTTCTTTTCTTGTTTGACCCAGTTGCAAGAAAAGACAGTGGCTAAACAAGACTATGACGGTTCTTAAGAAATTGTTAGTTTCAAATAGGCAATTATTGTTTGATCATAGCTTTGTGTGATTAATGCTTTATTTTATTATGTAAGGTCAGATTATATATACATATATACTGGCTGCGAGATGTCTTCCATCTGATAAAATAACAAGGCACTGAATTTCAGATAGTGCACGCCGATTGAGTTATTAAAAGCCGCAAGATCGACCAACGAGCTCTATTGTCGCATTAATAAATAATACAATTAAATGTTATTTAAAGATAATAGTTCACTCAGTTCAGATACGTTCGTGTATTGATAAAGTTTGATTTTTTTCATCAATGTCATTATTTGCTGTATTTTTTTGCCAAAAATATGCAGTCATGCGTTTGAGTCGATACACGTGATTTGATAGTGGTAAATCGATACTTAGAATTGTCCTTACTTACAGATCGGCTTTGCGGGAAAACCAAACTATATACTTTTTCAACAAACGATCAAGTGACAATATTTTGAAAAGGCGACAATTCTATAAAAATAACAATAAATCGTTGGAACGAATCGGTCAGATCATCTCAGACATGTACATAAAATTATAAAATAACTTGACGTCGAGTAACAAAGTTTTAATTTCAATATTTGAATGTTCATTTTGTTTTTGTGCATCCATTTACAAACTTGCTATCACGAAATTGAATAATAATTTATTTGTTATGTTATAGTGAAAGCCAAGCTAATCATAGAACTATTTATAGACGCGTGGCGCTTCCATTATAAAAAAAATAAAATAAACTTCAATTTCGAGAAACAATGTAAGCTTGGAAATATCGTTATTTATTATTATTACATGAATAGCTATTAAAGTACGCCTGATCATCTTTCACAAATATAGTTAGTATCATCGTTTATTTTATTAAAAATATATGGTATAAACTGTTTGTTCTACAAAGACGATTTTTGGACGCCGACAGTCCTCAAAAGTTACCAAATGGAAGATAATGTAGATACGATGACGCGTTTCAATGATATTGATTTTGCGTAAGCGTGCCGATTATTTTCGTTACTTTTGACGCAACCAATGGTAACAATGAACTTGCTTGAAAAATGCATGCAGTTTTGTGTAACAATTTGAGGTCGTTGAATCATTTAAGAAACCGTCACCGTTATCGTTAATCGTTCTTTTCAGACGATCAATGGCTTTCGCTGCAACGTAATAAGCGAAATATTTTACCACGAGCAAGATACAATGGTCAAACGAATGGTCCATTGCGCAATTATATCGACGCCGAAGAGAAACGATAATTGATTGAATAAAGTAATTGAAAAAAAAAATGATCAGTTTCTTAATGCGTTTCTTTATGACGTTTCTTAATGGCAATGAAGCCCGAAAAACAAATTGAGTAATAAGAAAACCGCGCACGCGCCACGAAATATGCACATCTACCGTGCGTTTCGCGTGTCGTCGGCGCACTAACACCAACAAGAAACTGGAAAAGTTGAGGATTGAGAGAGAAAGAGAGAATCGCAGCATCCGTCTTATCGCGTGACGAGCCTCGTAAGCCAAGGGGGTGCTCCCCCCTCCCCCAGCCACTTATAAAACTCGAAGCGTTCAGTCAGCTATAAAACCGGCGGTCAGACGGCATCGCCATACAGACGCCGAAGGCTTATCAGTCGCTCGAGACGTTCGCTGCAGCAGTTGTCAATTTTCCCTCGCGCTCTTGGCCAAATAAAGTGTTGAAGATGCCCATGGTCGAGAGCAAGAACGAACATCCGAAACACATCAAGAGACCCAGCGAGAATGATTTCTTGCACACTCAGGTCAAACACGCGCCACAGAGTCAGCCGCAGTAAGTTGCTTTTCAAACATGCGATCGTGATTTTTGAAAGTGCGAAGGTTTAAGTACGGCAGTGATTTATGAAACTTGATGACCATTAGCTCGGTGAGCAATCGGCTCCGTTTTATCTTGGTTAATATTGATTTCACGCGTTCTTTGGATCATCATTTTTTCGGGCTGTGTTGTTTAACGATCGATTGACATTCGATCGGGAAGTTATTCTTATCGCTCTGGCCGACTCAATTGCTAATAGCCAGAGCAGCTGTGCGACTAGTCGCTTATCTCTCGAATGGTAGAAAGAAAAACGTCATTCTTGAAATTGACCCGGAACCAGGCAAAATACCAGGCAAAAAACAAAGATGAAAAAACGAAAAATGTTGATCGCATTCAGATCCAAGTGTCACAATCGCGGACAAGATTTCGTCAGATATGCAATACAGTCTTCGTGAAATGACCGGTGCGCTCCCACCCGCTAACAGGTCATCAAATTAACTTATCGCTTGTTATGCATTCGACGGCGGGCTTACAAATGATATTCTATGCCGCTTGTCGAAGATATCGGCACGTGAGTCGATTCTACCACGCGATCGGAATACGCATCGGCCGAGTGTCTTGAACTCGTCGCAAACAGCTGTCGGCTCGCGCGCTTCTAACTCTGCTGAACTTGCGATAAAGTTGACGGCGTGTGCTCAGGACGCTGCGTATTTGCATTCCTTTTGCCTTATTATACTGTCGGGCGTCGAGCGATGAAACATTTCCATGCTCGTGCAAGGTCCTGTCATTGCAACGAACCAGTTGTCGACAGCCCAACCTGCTGGACCGTTTGCGTCGAATTCAAGGATTCAAATGACGGTACAATCGCAAAACACCTTTAAGACCTCAGCGAGTACATTGCACGTGTGATTCGTGAATAAGCAAGCGGTCGTGTGGTCTAGGTTGCATCAGCGGACCGGTCGCAGACTAATTACTTTCCCTAGCTCGCTCTCGATGCCTGATAAATATTCAGGATTAGCCTTGTTCATGTAAAAATGAATGTACTTGTGGTTGGAATCAAGTGACGTAATTAGTTCAGACACTAATTTTACGATTGGAGCAACGTTTCATTTTCCATTATGTAAACTGTCGTCTTCCTTTCGTCGGTTTGCCTTTTTTGCTTTTATAGGAAACGAGAAAGCGGCGTTTCCATACGTGGCGGTCCTAAGATTTGCTTTACGTTAAGATATTTTCCGTAAGAGTGCAAGTTTATCCTCGTGTGAGATTGGGGCTACTCCCTCGCTTGTAAAACTTTTTCAATCGTAGTTCTTCAAACAAGATCGATTCTATCCGTAAAGGAGTATATTCGATTATCTTGAGTCACTATTTATCGACGCGTCGATGAATAGTGCAAGTTTAGCTCCACGCGATTACCATTGCTCACCGATAAAGTAAAGTAAAGAACGATAAGAGGAATGCAGGTTGCGTTTTAAGCTTCGAACGAGGAACGCAGAATCGCAGAATCGCAGAGGCTCCCTTTACACTGCAGCGCCAAGTCAATAAATTAGACGTTGCTAATAGAGAAACTACGCACGCGCGTAGCCGCCGATCACCGATTAAGCTAATTGTCATCGTGCCACGTTGCGTGCGATTTAATTTTAAAATGTGCACAGCCACAATTTATACTGATTATACAACCCCCTTGCTCTCGCGCATACTCGAGCGAATTACCGTGACGACTGCTCATGCTAATCATAGCCGATTCGGCTCTTGTACTTGATGTAATTACGTTGCACTGCGAACCTTGACATTTGAATCACACGGCTCAATGTGTTCTCAATTGGAAAGTTATACACACGCGTATTCGCTCGGTGTTACGTGTCAAAGGCTGTCTCCATACTCAGCTCTGTCCCTTTGGACCTTCGTGAGAATTATGCTGATTATTCCAATTAGTCTCTGCGACGCGGAGCTCCATTGATTTGCGCTCTTTGATCCGTCGCTCGTGGCTATCAATATCGTTGCGGCATTCGCGTGCCCTCCTCTCCTCCCCTCCCCCCTGCCCCGCGAACAGCGAGGATACAGTTCACTGAAAATTGCTCGTTTTACCTGCCGTGTTAATGCCGCTTACGGCTGGAAAGCGACGGTTGAGAAAATACGAGGATGCAGAATGTACGGCAGGGCGTCGGTTCGCATTTATCACGTCTACATCATGCGTAAGTTAACATTGGCGCGCGCTCAAGTCTGCCCCCGCATACGGCTCTGCTGGTGGCTTCTATTCGGATACTTTCGCGAGATAATTTAATCGTTCCGCGACAAGCGAGCGAGATAAGTTCTGTGCACCGTTATCTCGGGAAAATTTGCTCCGCGGCTTAAAAACTTACTTTAATCGCGTAATCGCGCGATACGGACTTTATCGTCTCTGCAATTTTTGAGTTGTTCACTCGATTGAGCATCCAATGGATCGATCGACGATGCCTTGTCCTATATTCTACTTCTGCCATTTGTCGATTAACTAATCTTGAGCCTATATTAATTAAATTTTCGCCTGCTTTTGCTTTATTATTTTTCCTTTGTTCCGCGTCTTACAGATTCAGCTACGAAGCTCTTCAGGAAAGTGCTCAATATTTACTCGATCGCACCACCATCCGACCAAGGATCGGAATTATTTGCGGTTCTGGATTGGGTAAGTTCAACTCGCTGATTTCAAATTCAAATGCAATCGCTGAATACTGACGCGCGCGTGGTTTTTTTGAACTTTCCGTAGGTCCGATCGTCGACACCTTAACTCAAAAACAAGTTTTCCCTTATGAAGAAATTCCACATTTTCCAAGCTCCACTGTCAAGGGCCACGTCGGCCAAATGGTCTTTGGTTACCTTCAAGGTGTACCGGTTATGTGTATGCAGGGACGGTTCCACTATTACGAAGGATATCCGCTTTGGAAGGTTTGTTTCACTGCTTTTCTTTGGCTAATTACACGGCGGTTATAGCTCTTGGTATGCTCCAATTTTATATTTTATGCGTGCTACAAGACGAAATCGACATTCAACAGATCAACCTTTAAAAGAAGCGCTGATAACATTATAATAGAATATTCAGTTGTTTAATAATACACAGCAATAACACAAAACACATAGTGGTTTGTTATAGATGGACGTTTTACCGGACAAATTGATGTTTATGTTTTCAGTGCGCGATGCCAGTGAGGGTGATGAAGTTGGTTGGTGCGACTCACCTGATAGTGACGAACGCCGCCGGAGGCATCAATCCCAATTTCAAAGTCGGTGATATTATGCTCATGAAGGACCACGTCAACATGATGGGCTTCGCCGGTAACAGTCCTCTTCAAGGACCCAACGACGACAGGTCAATTTTTTAATCACTTTTCAACGATCAGTGCCCGTCTGGAATGTGATTTATGATTATAGCAGTGGTTAACGAGAACCAGTTGGACGATTGTTATCGTACCTAACAGATAAAAAGTGAATTATTGCGCGACGATAACATACCGTTCTCCTTCTCAATTCATTTGATGAACTATTTGCACGGGGAATCGAGCTGAAAAATGAAGAGAAACGAATTGATTGGCGTATTTACCCAAGGAACTCTCGGTACAGCTGAGAGAGAAAGAAAGACTATTCGTATGTTCGTCTTTTATTTTCGTCGGCTTCTCGTTGATTTACGCGTCGAGAGAAATCAGTTTAATTTTTTTTTCAAACAATGGCGACTGTTTGATTGGATTTATCAGATGCATCACTGAACTTAACATTCTTTTGAGAAAGAAAATGAACAAAATGTTTCGTATCTTCATTCATTTTCGATTTAATGTCCTTTTAATTGACACATATTTTCCACTCGCATGTAACAGCTACTCATCAATGAATCAATTAAAAATCTATCAATTGCATTTCAGATTTGGACCAAGATTCCCACCCATGAATCAAGCTTACGATAAGCAACTCTTGGCGATAGCCGACAAAGTCGTAGCCGAAATGGGCATTCAAAATATCGTACGCAGAGGAGTATACACGTGTATTGGCGGTCCTAATTACGAGACCGTTGCTGAATTCAAGATTCTCCAGATTCTTGGCATCGACGCCGTCGGTTAGTGTTCGTCATTTCCAGACAAAAATCAAGAATAACATGATAGAAGCGACATTCCAATAATTTTACTTTTTGCAGGCATGTCCACGGTCCACGAAGTCATCACGGCTCGCCACTGCAACATGAAAGTGTTCGCGTTTAGTTTAATCACAAACATGGCCACGTCCAATTATGAAGATCACACCGAGGCCGACCATAAGGAAGTTATGGAGATAGGCAAACGCATGGAAGGTCTTCTCAAAGAATTTGTTTCCAGAATGATCGCGCACATCAAGGATACTTTTGACGATGTAGCCAAATAACTGAACGATACAGCATAAAGGAGAATGAAACAATGACAACTATGTATATTCATCGATATCAAAAGAATAGGCTCTGCTGTATTTATTTTTCGAGATAGCTAATACTTCATCCAGTGCGTGATTGTCCTTCTCGTTCTAAAATTTCTTAGAATGATAATCGTTCAATGTAGATTTTGCGACTATTCATTAGCGTTGACTGACAAAGAGTTTTAAGCACGTGGAATATTAAATGTCTTTTAAACACGATTACTGACGTATTCTCCGTAAATAGTTCAAGTATTGCAAGAAGATTGGACGAGAGGACACTAAGTTCTCATTTCGCACACTCTGGAATCATTGTAGAAAACCTTAGTTTTACATGATGCATCGCTTAGTTTTAAGAATTATATATTTGTACGTAAATTTCGTAATTTTAATTTAACCATTTCAGTAAAATAACATCATTTTATAATAAAAATTGACTTATTTGATTTGAATAAGCATCCTTGATAATTACTGAGTTATCTCTTAGATTTCATGTTAAACGCAAGACATAATAATGTTTTTCTCCTGTGTCTTACAATACGTATAATCCTTTGGTGAAATTAATGATAAATGAAAAAAATAGTAGCTTGAAGTTAATAAGCAGTTAAGTTTGGTTGAACAACATGTTAACAAGTTTTTCCAATAACTTAATTCGTTTATTTGATTAAGTTAGATTTACTGTTTGTAGATACTCCCTCTAAATACGATAAATCTATCGTTTTGGAAAACGGTAAATTATTATATGATAATTATTTTTGGTTTTTAATTGATTTCGATAAAATCAAAAGACGAAAACTTTTAAATAAAAAATAATCATTGAATATCGTGTCTCATAGATCAGTACTTCTGTCTATGTTCGATAATCTGTGTGAAGTATAATTAGCAAAAACTTCCAAAAAGCTAAAAAACAAGTATATCAAATTAAAATTTGATTTGTAAACACTTAGAAATAAACAAAGTTCTTGATTGTATCAATATAGTGAATATCATTGAAAACAATGAAGAAAACCAGTTATTTCTACAAACTTCACTAGCTTTATAAAAATACTGACAATTGGATACTCCTCATAATTGCTTATGACGCAAAAGTTTAATTGTTTTACATTATCTAGATTACAGCAAATTTCGTAAGTAGATCGACAATGGAATGAATCGATATTATACTGATCGTTATGAAAATAATCTCCGGTTGAAACTCGTTAGGATTAAGATCTTTGAAAGCTGCTATGCCTACAAGGGTTTGAAATATTTATAAAGAATGTCATAAATCGTTGGGGAACTTTAGTGCATGTGTTATTGTTTTATAAAAGATGAATAAAATAAAGAAAAAAATGGGCAGGTGAATTGCCATTTTTAATGAGCAATGTATTCTTAAAATTTTTATAGCCGGTAAAATTTTTTCATCGATTTCTATAATTATCGATGGAATGTATGACTCGTAATAGCAATATGTACCTATTACGCGCACTAGCACTGGTAAATGAATTGAGCCAGACTTGAATATCTTTGGTAATATCCGGTGTACGAGCAGTGAGTTGAGTGACGTTTACTTGTTCACTTGAAATTAGAAAATTACCGAATGAGATTAATTGATAATCCGAGTAAGATGTTGGGACGACACTAAGCTCATTGAAAGATCTTAGATGAACGTTGATCCGATTGCAAAGGCTTGGGCTATCATTAAATCGGAAAGCAAATACCGGTTCCGAAATATTACAGAGGGATAGGTCAGTCAGTTAATCTCCCGGATCGACATACACAAGTCAACAGCCCTCAAATCGTCGCGTAATCAAAGCTGTTAATATGACCAACTGTTATAACTGTGCTTTTTATATGGTTAGTCTGAGCGAGAAACTACGAATGGTCAACGAGGGCTTCGATGAAGACTGTTTTCTGCAGGACGACATCGATCGGCTGATGATCGCGTTAGATAATCACGGACACGCAAGCAACATCGCGCACGTACTGCATCAGGATATCCAAGGCGCATCGGCTGTGCGTCTCATTCCATTGTTGCAGTGCGCCGTGAGAAGCGTGGTAAAGCTGCAAGGGGACATTCTGGCTTGCTTCGAGAACTGGCTGCCCGATAGCATGGAGGACGTTTTTGAGAATCTGTGCGACCAAGTAAGTGAGGCTTTTGCAGATTCGCCCGAAGAATGATTCGGCCGATGTTTCTCGTTCGTGTAATCCGCCATTCTCCTCAGAGAAAAGACGACACCAAGACTAGCTTGGTGTTCCTTCGAATCGGATGGCAGGATATCTTCTCGCGGGCGACGCTGAAGGAAATGGATACGCGTCTGCGTCGACTCGACGCCGATTGGCCGGTCTTCAAGATCAGCAAGAGAGCAAAGAAACTAACGGTGCCTGAGAAAGTCAGATGGATGCTGCCGCCGATAACGTACAAGTCGTTGGTTATGCCGCGCTCGCCACTGTTGCAATTGTCGTTGAACAGACTGCTGCCTCCACGCTCGCCGCTCGACAGACCATCGCTGACGCCCGCTACAGAAGAATCGCCACGGGCGAGAATCGCCGAGCCACCGCCACCTCAATCGCCGGATCCACTGACAGCGAAGGAAGCGTCGCCGAGAGTGGCCACGAGCGAAGACAGCGACAAGCGGTCGTCGCCGGCTCGATTCCAGCCGACGCAGTTTGCCAAACCGCCGAATGCCAGGCAATCGACCACCGAGACGAGACTTGGTCGATCGAGCGTTGGCAGTTACGGCTACAAGGGAACCGGTAGCCTGTATTTTTATCGACAAATTTATTGTCAAAACTTGGCATACAACGTCGCTTGACAACCTTGCTGCAACTACTCAAAGACCAAATAGTTCGGAGAAATAAGAGTGATCGGCCGATTCGTACATTCGCACTGCGAGCAAATTGCTGATGCAGTTGTATACGAATAATCTGATCTCATTTAATTCAGTTTTATGTTTGATGATAGACAGTGCCTTTTCAGTGAGTTGTATAAATGGTTATGTGTATAAGAATGTCATTTTAAGAATAATTCTCACGAATAAAACAAGCAACAAGTTGTTCTGTTGCCTCGCATTATTTTTAAAAGTTGTAGAGAAAAACAGTTGTTTCTCTTCTAGTACTTACAAAACATTCCGACGCGAGACATCAAATTTCTTGGATAAAGCTTTTTCAAGCGCAAATAAAGAAAAGTCAAAGTTCGCAGGGAAAAATGAAAGAAGAAGCAGCGCGTTAACAACGCTGGAAGCGGAGTAAAAGGATTTAAGAGGGAAACCATTGTCGCGAAGGGAAGTGCCGATAGGAATATAATTGAGGGCCAAGGACTTGCGTGTTTCTCTCTCTATCTCCCAATTGATTCGTTACTCGTGGATTCGAGGCGCGTAGTGGGAGATCTCAAGAGAGGAAGGGAACCCCCTAACGTTTCAGCGACGTTATTATGTGGCACATAACACAATGGGTTGACGTGAAGAGTAAGAGGAGAGAGAGAGAGAGAGAGAGAGAGAGAGAGAGAGAGAGAGAGAGAGAAAGAGAGAGGGAGAGACAGAACTTTCTGCTGCTTGTAATGAAGTAATTATAAATAATAAGGTGAATAGAAAGACTTTCGGAGGTAGTCCGAAAATTCTGATTTAAAGTGCATCTATGTAAAATATTCACGTTAAAATTTCGAGTATCAATGTTTATTTTAGTAAAATTTGTTTTTTTCGAATGCATTTTTTTTTTATTGAGATATACAGAAAGGTTATATGACTTATAATAGTTCTAAGAGTTGAGGATTAATCAAATTTATGTATATTTGTAGCTATTTGTTATAACTTAAACTTACATGTGCTTATCTTTTCAAAATTAATGATAGAGTGAAAGCTAATTTATTATTAGACTACTGGAAAATAGCTTTTCGTTCAATTTTTTTTTGTCGATAAATATGTTTTCGAAGAAGATTCAGTTTTTGACAAGATTGAATTAGTTATGCATAACTTCAAAACTGTAAGTCTCGATAGTGTATTTGTTCAAAATATTATATTTGATTTTCTAACGTGGGTGGGACTGAAAAAATATTTTCAAGACCTACGGCACCGGAACATTTCATGTTAAGATTTTTTAACTTATTCACTAGTTGAGAGTCATTCCCACCGGAAAAAATAACTGGAGCAATGGAAGGAAAAGCTTATCTTGTTGTTCATAAATGTTCCACGAATGCAAGTGTCCATACGTCTCTGTACGGCTGGTAAGGGACTACCGACTTTCCAAGGCAGATGTGACAACTGATGCACGCGTAACTCGTATATAGAAATCGGTACTTGTACTGACATACAAGCGTGAAGGAGCTCTACGGACTGACTTTGAAGCAACGGGCACGATGTCTTTTTGCCGTTCGGAGTCGAACGAGGGAGTCAATAGTCTCGTAACTTGGATTTACAGTTTGCAGAGCTGCGCACGGTATTCGCGAAACATTTAAAAAGAAGATCAGGAACGTAAAAGAACAACGGAAAAGTGTGGAAAATAGAGAGAACGGAGCGAGAAGCGTCGCTGGCAGATAATCAGGATAAGCAACGGCAGCGCGGGGCTGAGGCAATCAGGCGAGAAAATTTGCAAAAGGTTCGTCCTCCTCCGTCTTTCATAGCGCACTCACGGGCACTTTGCTTCGTTACTCTCTCGTCGCTAATGCATCGCCGACGTCTGTCCTCTCTGTCCTCGCTCCTGATCTCGTTGTCTTGTCTCGCCCGTCCTCTTTCCGGCATTATTGCGCCAACGAGATTACGGTGAACGATTTTCACGCGACTTTCCTGCCGACGAGACCTTAAATTTTGTTCGTGGAGAACGAAAAATCAAGTCCAAGAAATGTGCTTCGTAAATTGGATGGACGTACGGTATTCGTAACGCTGATTTCTTACAAATACTGGTCCTTCGATTAGTCGCGAGGGTAAGAGAGCTCGGTGCTACGTTTGATCGTTTTTTTCATTTTTGATGCTATAATTTAATTTCACAAGATGCAACTTGTATTTTGCATTTGTCGATAAATATCATTCTTTAAAGGGTCGCTGCGCTCCGGATCTTAACACAATTTATTTTTGAACAGTGGACAACTTTCATTTTTCAACATTACGTTAGATCGTACTATTTTTTCGAGGTACGTGTGCACAGACACATTCCATATTGCTATTGTAAAAACATTTCGAGATAATGTAATTTTAGTTAACCTATCGATCGATGCTCAATTATCGAAAATCATTAATTATATATCTCGAATAACGTACACTTACCTTCAGAGGCCAATGCCTGCAGTTCGGTCCACGAGACAGAGATGTCGCAGCGAACACCACAACAAAAATCTAGGACACCCGGTATACACATTCTCTCTCTCCTTCACCCACACATCCGCGTCGTTCATCTACTTCTCTCTCTCTCTCTCTCTCTCTCTATCTGTCTCTCTCTCTCTCTCTCTCTCTCTCTGTCTGTCTCTCTCTCTCGAGCGCGCGCATCGCCGGTTCGCGAGCAGCTGAACTTCGGTGAGCGCAAAAGAGTCACCTGTCAGTATCGGGCCGCGCGCGGCTACCGGCAGTCGTGTGTTCGCGAGTGCGTCGTAAGAGTTTCCGTTGCGTTGTTGATTCTGCGACTCGAAACAGTGCATTCAAACCAACGTGCTTATGCTCGTCGTCGATAACACACATCCTTGTATACATTCGTTTACATAAACAGAAGAGGCAGCTCTCTCGATTCAATGGCAAGCGATTGAGAGGTGAGAGTCCAAAAAAGAAAAATGTGTCATCGATATAAGTTGGTGATGGCCGAAGGGCTTTGCTGCAGTGTGGCTGGCCCATAGTGCATACGTGTGTATATATGAATATATATATATACATATACATATATATATAGTGTGTTGTACATTCTCTCGCACACGAGAGAGCGTGTGCGAGAGAGAGAGAGAGAGAGAGAGAAAGAAAGAGAGAGAAAGAAAAAAGAAGAAAGCGTCTAGCGCAGCGCGGAGTAGCAATACGTGTGTCGGTGTGTAGGTGTGCGCGAGTGAGAGAGAGAGAGAGAGAGAAAGAGCGAAACGGAAGTCATATGCCCGTACACACGCGCAAAACGGTAAATCACGATCTTTCCTCCTTGTATTGTGTATATATAATGTATGCATGCGGCGGCATAGCATTCTTCTTTAGCTGTGATATTTATATATGCGCACTTGGTTGTTTTCATTTGCTGCTGAATTGTTTTCTTTTCTTGTCGCTTGTAATATATAGCTACGTGCTCTTGCTCGCCGACTTTGGCCGATGTAAATCAAAATTGTTTTCCAAAAGAGATGATTTCCTTTGGCGTTGCGCAGATGGCAAATTCTCAATTTACTGCGTATTAATCACTCGGAAATAGAACAGATTGCATTTCTTCAGCGTGACAGGCCTAAAACGGCGGATTAAGCCATGCGGTCCGCACGCGACGCGTGCCATTGCCAGGTACATGCTGCTGCGTCGAGATAATTGCAGCAGCTCGTTGAGAGTAAACCGTATCATGAGGTTTCCAGGATATAGTCGGGCGACATTTTGCGGGCTGCTTTCGCTCAATTAAAAATTCAAATGGAAAGATCGACGTTTCTGGTTTTCCATCGTTTATGATTAAAAAGTGCGCGCAGTGCTTTGTTTCCCCGTATACGGTGCATCAAATACCTCCTGACAGAGCGGCTTCAAATTTTATAAACCACCATATCTCATATTAAATTTCTTTTCAAAGTAAAATCAAGCGAGCTGCTGCTGCGTGTCCGAGCAAAAACGCAATTCTCTCTCTCTCTCTCTGACTCGACTTTTCGAAGACTAGTGAGCTTTCGAGCTTACCAGTCTTTTAAGCTGGAGAATGTTATATTTTTCGACAGAGAGAGAGAGAGAGAGGGAGAGAAAATATGTCTTTTTAGACTATTATACGTTTCCACTTAAAAAAAAATTTACAGCGAATGTAAAGCTCGCGAGATTATCGTTTGCTCTGTATGCTAATGTTTCGGCGCGGAGCTCTAACGAAATTCTTCTGCGATATCGTTCGAAAAAAACATAACCCATGGCTCCATGAGGAACGACGCGAAAATCCCGAAGACCCTTATACGTCAAACACACTCCCACGCAGGTACATACACCTATCCAGAGGGAGTGGAAGCAGGGACTTAAATCAGCGATCGCTTCATATATAGTGATTTTTTCGGTGACCGGTTTGGTGTGTAAATATACAGAAAATGTGCTGCGCGTGGGATGCGACAGGAGGGCGATTCTTTTTTTTTGTTTTTTTTTTGTCGAGGAAAGTTGAAGCGCCTATCTACTTTGTCAATGTCGATTGGCGATAATCCACGCAAGTTGGTTATTAATCGCACTGCAGTGCGTGCGTTTGGAGACTGTGCAGCAGTTGGGAGCGAATGTCGGTCGAGAGCTGTAGAACGTCGGAATGCGAAAGCGAAAAAAAGCTTTTGGTGTCGAGTAATTGGCGCGCGGGAAAAATTGTCTCATAAATTGGTCACTTATGCCTAGGCCCGTTTCGTTTATTCTTTTGTTATTACCCGCTATTTCTTATTGTCTGGGAAAATTGCGTAATTATTCGTCGACATTACTGCATCAATCACCGAAAATGGTTTCCTTATTGAGAGGATTTTTCGTGATTAACATAATTTGAGAGACGAAAAGAATTGTGAAAAAGTAAAGTTTTTGATAATTTGCGATTAACAGTGAAGCTATTCTAATAGAATTCTCGTTAAATAATCGATCAATTAAACGATTCTGGAAGATTGGAGACTGTGAAAAGGTCATTACCAAAGATTTGTAGACAACTTTGATAAAGTGAAAAAAATGTGCATTAATATTCTTGCGGAATTTGAAGCACCATGCGTGCTATGTCTAAAATTCTCGTTTCACAGATTTATTGATATCGCGCTGATTGGATAAAAACAATTAAACATTTGTTCGCGAATTGGCACACCGTAATAATACTCGTGGAATGGATAGGCGAGCTGCACAATCAACTAATCTGTAAGAGAAAATCTGTACACAGCAACAAATGGCTTTTAAATGGCCGTCACACGTACACGTCAAACTCCAGCGGGAGTATTTGTCCGCATAAAGCGCTCGGAATTATACCGACAAAACTCGTTCTCGCTCTTGCGTCACCCTTCGAAATTATAAACACACGCTTAATCAAGATCTCCAAGCCAACATTGCTGCTTGTCAATAGCGCGTGTACGTGAGCCAAGCTCGTGAAAACCCACACATGCGCGAAATTCTTGCTGCCCTCCCTCTCTTTATTTGCGCGAGCGGCGCGCCTGCCGTTTTATTTCATAAAGCCAATTACGAGAGAGAGAGAGAGAGAGAGAGAGAGAGAGAGAGAGAGAGTTGTTTGCACTCGCCAGTTTCGATTATTTGTCCTCATTAGGCGAGCAGCGCGTAATTTCGTGAACGCCTACGCTCGAAATTGATAAAAGTGAGCTTTGTTTGGTCTGCTTTCCGTGGAAAGAGAGAGAGAGAGAGAGAGAGAGAGAGAGAGAGAGAGAGAGGGAGAGTAGCCCACGTCGCATTGGTTTTTACGTTTAATCGGATCCCCCTTTGCAAACTTGAAAATTGTTTCACGCGACTGCGCTGCGCGCGAGTTTCGCATCGAGTGCGCGCACTCGACAGTCCCGGTGGATGGCGGATCCAATAAAAGCCTACTTCTGAATATAAGCCAGTATTGCGCAGATTATGCAGATTGCTCGCTTTATTCGCTGAAATTGCCGAATTATACAGATGTTTACATAAGCGTGCCTTGCTTCTTTTCAGCCAATTGGGTAACGCGACGAAAGTTCAGTTTGCATTTCGTCGGTTAAACAAACTGACCAACTTGGCAAAACGATGAGCCTAGAAGCAAACTTGCCAGTGATTTTCGGAGTTGCCAGTGAGCCGCAGTCGACCTACGTGAAAAAATATATTGTTCGGGCCGGAGGCGCGCAGTTATTACAAGCGATGATGAAAATCACCGGAGAATAATAAAGTCGCGTGAATCATTGGCAACGGGCCGTACCGACTTTCATAAATCCAGCGGCCAAATTCGTGCATCACCGTATCCACGTTCGTCGTTTTGTCAGTCCGAAGCGGCTAACTCGTGAAATTTTCATTGCCTCGTCGTCCTTGCTACTGCAGCTCGCTTCTGTCGACCGTCCCCTGTGACTGTTGCACGATCGTTAGAGCTCCGTTTCAACCTACTTTCTGTCTTTCTTCTTTCAAGCAGCTTAATCTCGAGCACTACATCGGCAATGTCCATTTTCGTCGCTGTTGCGATAAACATTATTTTGCGCGTCAGACCGTCAACGTCGACCGTCAATGTGCGCGCGAACCAAAGTAGACAGGAGCGCTGGTCACTGTGCCGAGCATGAGCGAGGCGTCGAAAAGGGTCTTTTCTGCAATGATCATCGTAGACGGCCGTGACGTACGAGCAAGTACAAAAGCACAATGAAAGCCTGGGAAAATAACGAGGGACCAAGCTCGTCCAATCGCGAGCGGAAATATCCGGGAAATAGCATGACCATGGGCAGCTGCCAGGGATTAATTAACGACGCGGAAACGCAACATTGCAAGTAATAGCGGGGCGCCGTGCTCGCGTACACGTCGAACGTTGATCTTGTAGGCGAGCGAGCCCGAATGCCGCCGTTGCCAGGCTAAACGGCAAACGAAACAGCAGCCCGCCGGCGTTTTTCGGCGACTCCTCTCTATGAATCGCCAGAGATTCTCGATACGACAGGCTGCCTCGGGCCGCAACGAGTAGGCTCGAAAGCAACCATTTCCCAGAGATTATCGCGCAAACAACTGTGCGCCCCCGACTCTTTTCGCGAGAGAACGCGCAGGCTTCTGATTGAAAGAGCTTCCGAGCGCCCCCTTTTTTCATTTTTTCCATCGCGACGCCGAGTGCTGCTCTGGGCTTTGCCGGCAAATTGAAACTTAATTAAAAATATCTTTACTCAGGACTTTGAAGTGCTTTAAAATGCAATAACTGCAAGGCATTTCTTTTCCCGAGGCCAGTCCCAGAGGGACCAATTTAATTGGTTTTCGCGACCGGGCTACAGACGGAGATGCGAGCGAGCAGAGAGGCCCGATTCGGACCGATTTCAATCGGACCTGTCGTCTCTAATCTTGCCTATTCCGTTCGACTCTCGGACAAGCGTAGACGTCGCTGCCGTGAGGTCGAGCATTGAATTTCGCGCGCGTTAAAGTAGCAATGCGTGGCCTGGCCTGGCGTCCATTCGTTTTTCGTGCAATTTCACGGGCCGATTCGCGCGCCTGCGCTCCCCGCTTTTTTCGGCCTCCCCAAATTTATGTGCGAGCAGCCTCTAATTCAGCGCGCCGCGACCAAGTCTCGTCAGCTCTGTCTCTCCTTTTTTAATTGTCGTCGTAATTGATTGCGGGACGTGACCTCTCTGCCCGCTAGATAAACTCAAAATTCGATATATGCATGAAATATTCATTATCGCTGTCGACTCAATTATCTGTATAAACGCGGCCTGCTCGTCATTCGGCTGGCTTCCTGCCTACTATTCGACTGCTAAATGAGTTACGCTTGCAACGATCATTGATCGTGTTATCCGTATCAATGCCGAACTCGACCAATCTGTTTCGCTGCGCCGAGCGACGAACAATGACGAACGATGCAGGAAAAGGAACGACGAGAACGTGGCTTTGTATCTTGGAATCGCAGGTGTACGTACGACGTTGTAGCGCCCGTCGCATCTCAGTCCACTTAATTAGATGCGAAAATAGTTCGTATCGACTCCCACTTGAAGGCACTCGACTGAGTCCGTAGCGGTAACATTATAGTCCGCGATGACAGCTGAATCGAGGATGGCCTCGTCGTTCTCAAGTATAAGTGGGGAGTATTGCCGACAAAAAGCGAAGCGAGCGCACGTCATTGCGAGATCAGCGCGCCCGGCCGTTGCGACATCGGCGTATCGTGTGCGGCGGCCGCGAGAAACTCGGAGGCGATGCAGCGCTCGGGAATAATGGCGCGCGCTACTTGCGGTCTCACCGTCTAACCAGTCACCTGCGCCTTTCTGCGCGACGCGCTCGACAAGAGGGGATCGGCAGTCGGGGGTCGGGAATCGCTAATCACGCCGACGTTCCGCTGGAAATGCCATGCATCTCGCTCGAGAGTCGTGAGTCCGCTTCGACTGTGCGCGGTTGTCTTGGATCGTTCGCCTATTCGCGCCGTTGCACTGGCTAAAAATAGACGCGCCACGACCTCAGCGGCGATCCTGCTGTTGTTGCCTCTCTGCTCGCGAGACAGGCCGCGAATCTCCGGCCGCCGGTCGTTGACGATCGAACAAAGCTCGTCGACCGCGTAAATGACACCCGAGCCGCGCAAACGTACAGGCGACCAAGTGGTCCGTTGAAAGCAACGAAACGTGTCCAAATCGCCTTTGATGTACATCTCTGTCGGGTGAAATCTGCAGCACACGATGCGGCGCGCGGCGGTTCGATCAAGTTTCGCTCTTGCCCACGTTCATCCGTCTCTTTCTCTTCCGAACGGCCGCCTATTTATAGATTTCGACAGCGAGAGATGATGGAGCAAGCAGTCGGCGACGTGGATCGTTGGTTCTCGTGGACACGGTAAACGTTTCGATCGGTGGATTGGTGGTCGGTTAATGGGTCGCTGCTCCTTGCAAATCTGCAAACGCGCATTGTCATCCAACTAGTTCAATTGCTTACGGCAGCTGCAAACGAGTACACGGGCATGGCTATCGAATGAAATGCTTGGGCACGTAGCCACGGGTAGACCGGCTTTAGGTAACAATATATCAACAAGTCGTGGACGCCGCTGGCAGTGCGTATGCGTGCGCTCTTGTTGGCTCAACGTGCCTTTAACGGAATCGCAGATGCAATCGTAGTCCAGGTCGATTCAGGATCGGATTGTACCTTCGAACGCGACGAGAAATTGAGAAATTGAACTTTTTACGTTCCGCAAGCTGGCCGTTAGCTGTACGGGGTTAACCGTTGACGAGCAACGAGCGCACAACGAGGAAAGCGATCTGTCGAGTGTTTGATCTTTAGCGTAGCAGTAGCCAATTCGCGTGGTCAATAATTATTGTTAAGCACAAAATCGACGCAGCGAAATCGCGGCACTGACTGACGAGTATTTGTGCTTTGGTATGTCGACAGCGCGCCTGCGAAGAAATCGAAATGGTGGAGCTGAGCGCCGGCAGCAGCGGCCAAAACAGTCAACAGCAGCACCAGTCGCAGCACCAGCCAGCGGTCAATCCGTTGAGCATGATGACGGGCGCGACGTCGTCGTCCTCGACGTCCTCGGCGGCAACAGGCAGCTCCACGTCGTCGGTTTCGAGTAGAACTGGTCTCCTGGAAACGCAGGTCCGCGGGCAGTGGTACCGCGTGCTCGTCTCCTTGGAAGACGACTATTTGAGCATTTCGCTCGACGAGAGTTGCGAGGCGGCTGGCAATGGCCTCAATGGCAACGTCAACAACAACAATATAGACAGTCTGGGCGATCCCGACGTGCCGGACTCGGTGGCTAATCAGAAGAGGACCGTGCGAGTTGTCAAGAGCGACAATAATGGATTGGGCATCTCTATCAAAGGCGGCAAAGAGAACAAGATGCCCATTTTGATATCGAAAATCTTCAAAGGAATGGCTGCCGATGCTACGGAGCAATTATACGTTGGAGACGCTATTCTCGCCGTTAACGGTGAAGATTTGAGGGAAGCGACGCACGATGAAGCGGTTAAGGCGCTCAAGAGGGCTGGCAAAGTCGTCGAACTTGAAGGTTAGTGAGTCGCTGTTTTATAAGTGAGCCACAGTATTTACCTCTATTTAAGCAATCCTGTACAAATTTACGCTACAAAGATTTTATTGTACAATGCTCGCTTCTGAATCATTTTCAAATGTCACAAAATAGAGTTTGGCAATTGCATCGCGAGTAGCTACATTTTCAATAACACTGAAGCAGTGGTGCTTCCTTTTCTTTGCCACAAAGTGCTGTAATACAAGCTCCAAAGCGCCATCTTCGTTAGGATTAATCAAACACCTGGACAATTAGCCAGGGACACGAGACGTGGCGTCAAACGTCACGTAAGCCGAGCCCTGCAGAGCGGAATAAGAAGTAGCAGAGAGAGAGAGAGAGAGAGAGAGAGAGAGAGAGAGAGAGAGAGAGAGAGTCGAGTGCAAAGCAGTGGGACATTAACGGGGCTCTCTGCCCTCTGTCAGGCCAATTAGCCTTAAGTACGGCATGCATTTTCCAACGGCTCGTCACATCAGAAAACGTAATAAAGAAGAAACATAGGCAGAAAGTAAGCTTTTAGTCGGATTAATATAGCGCGACAGTCTCGCGGAAACTTTGTGTCGAAAACTTTGCTCGACGCCCCGAGGATTTGCAGTCAGGTAGAGGGACGGACAAGCTTCTTATTCTTGGCTTGTTAACGGTTTACAAATGTTTTCTTTCTTTTTCGCGCTGTTTTCAATTCCACCAATTTACATTTGGCAGTTTATGAATTTATTACAACATGCGCTCGCTCGACAAGAGAGTTCAATCAGAGCTGGATTACGGATCGATTTGACGGTTAATTGCCGAATCGTGTATACGAAGAGGACGACTTTTAATTTGAAAACGACACCTCGCGTGCACCGAGCTGCGAGGTATTAATGTATTTATAATTGGCGAGCGTTATTTTGTAATTTACAGATGTAAAATAGATTCGACCGTTGATTGCAATTAACGTTCGGCTATTGGGATTTGGTTTATTATTAGGGTTGTTAGCAAAGAAGTAAAGTTTCATATGCTGTTAAAAGTTATAACGTTGTCAGAGCTTTTCAAAACGTCCGAGCCCTGTCGCGAGCTTGTCGACTTGGTAAACGGTGAACAGCAGCGATCAGGCCCGAGCGTACACTCGCGTCACCTGTCGACGAGCAGTAAAAGCAGTGTACAGCTAAAAAAGAGCGACACTAACCGACGCGTGGAATCGCACGGGCCGTCGTTTCACGCGCCACAGGCATTCGATTAGGCTCTGCGAGAGCTTCCGAACAAACGTCATATCTCGGCGTATGAATACATTACAAGCGCTGAGGCTTTCTCACGCTGATGTGTCGTCTCGCTGCGCCGTCGCGAGTTTAGTTTGGCTGCGAGATGTTGAGATATTTTATTAGCCGACAGGACGAAAGATTCTCGAGCTCGGTCATGTGGGCGATGCGACAGCCCGCGAGTATCTGAGCCATGGGACTTTAGCGAAGATCGATTAATCTTTCGTATATCTTTAATTTCCATTCATTTAGTGATGATATATTTGATTTGCTCGGAAATGGCTGTTGATCGAATATTCATTTGCTGAACGAACCAGTGGATCACTGATTTTCAATGCGATCGACGTCCAACGTGGCCTTCGCTTGCCTTGTAGTTGCAACAACAAACGGCGATATTGTTATCGTAAAGTTGATAAACAGATGAAAAGGCTTGACGTCCGCTCGTAATGCTGTACAATAGAATTTATTAAGAGCAATAATTGATTTGGAGTGCGCGAAACGAGGAACGCGCTCGGCGGCTCGAGAAAGTCGATTGCCTTTCTTCGGGGGCTGAGCTGGTGGCGTAAAATAGATGCCTCGGAAAGAACAAAGGCATTACTCACGACCGACTTTTCATCGCGCGCTTTTTCTCATGTAATTATTTTTACATCGCGGCGAGTAAATGTTCCAAGCGCGCGCGAACGGAGATAAAAGGCTAAAGTTAGAGGAGGGAAAGCCGTAGGTGAACTTGTGTAAAATTTGAACTTGTAAAGATTTGACTAATGTGCCGAGGGCACACAGTTAGCTGGAGAACTGTGCTAACTTTGCCGTTTTATCATCTCGACTCGTTCTCCCTCCCTCTCCTTCTCAACTTGCAAGCGCGTTGATATTCATGCTTGACGTTCAGATTTCTGAGCTCTACGTGATTGTACATGCCGGGTGCCTTGACTCCGAACACTTTATGGATGACAGTCGGCTTTTCGCCAGCTATAACAATTTCTCGAGACGGCATATTCAAAGTTGTCGTTTGCGAGATGTTTATCGTTTTTCCCACTAGGCCCTCGGAACATTAACCTACGCGCAAATACAACACTAGCGTCGGATCGGATATGTCATCACGTATTTCTTCTTATCTAGACGGACGGGTTAAGCGGAAAAACGCACCTTTTTTCGTTGTTCCGCGTCGTTTGCGCACTGTATCTTTGAGGAAGCCGATGTTCGGAAGAAGGACTGGCCATTGTGGATTAGACGATTAGCGCGGCGCGCACGAGCGACGAGCTTCGGTTTGTCGATCGATGGCGGAATTATCGGGTTGAGCGATCGCGTGACTTTTGGCATGCGCATGCCAGCGGCGCCGGCCAATCTCCACGGCGCGATCTTTTCTCTCCGAAGGAATCCGAATGAAATATCGCGTGCCCGTGATTACGGATCTGTCGAGGTGGCGCGAGCGCAGGCCTCGCGTCGACATCTACTCTTTTTCCTCTTTCTCGCGGAACCCACGTCGTACGCGACTGCTTTCTACTTCTTTACGATTATTTCTGTTGCGCACGAGACGTACTGGACTACACTGGACACTGCCCCGCGCGAACCGGGGCTACTGCGACACTTGGGGTCGGATGTACGTTGGGAAACAACTTGCTCGGAGTTGCTTTTAATGGAATGACGCGAGTCACGCAGTCGAGCGCCGTCCGTCGTTGCTTTGGCAATTTTTTCTTTCGCGTACGACGTACCGGAGGCGCCAACGTTATTTTGTAATTGAACGACAACGGAAAGAAACGACACGGAAGAACACGCGTTTAGAAATGATCGAGGGCCCCCGCTGACGACAATCCGGGGCAGCAACGCATTTGCGCGCTTTCGAGCGATCCTGCAAAAACTTTTCACGGTAAAGCAGCGCGGTTGCGTTGAAAGCCACCGGTAGCAAGTCCATCTCGGCGGCCAATCCGAAGAAGACGGTGAAACAATTTAATGGTGTCATTCGTGATGCGCATTCGTGATGGCACACGGCAGTTCGAAGGCACATATTACTCACAAAGTTACGCACTTCGATTAGAAGATTAACCGCCGAAGAAGGCTGGATTGCCCAACTGCGTACAAGGGTATAAGGCGGAGCTCGAGCTGGACCACCTGTCATCGATGGCCAAAGTTGTTTAGCAGTCAAGCCTTTTTCAGAGAATTGTCCTGCGATCGGATAACCGCGCGGTGAAATCGGCAAATGAAAAAGCAGGAAGAACGTTAGGGAAGGCGCGTGCGTTCTATCGTGCGCGGCGATTTGCAGGGAGGCGCCGATCGCATAACGCGCACCCTCCCTGAATCACTGTGATGGATAACAACGTAGCTAGGTGTTATGCGCCCAAGAATCAATCAAGACATACGAGCTGCAACCGTTCAAAATGCCACTCGCCGATGATTCAAAGGTTCGCCTTTCGATGACGATTGCAGCTTCATTCGATAATGACCCGCGCAATGGCGGAGCACGTGCACGCGGGATGTTATTCGCGTTATTGGTGCAAGCCCGCGTGGAAAGACGGCGAGGAGGAGCCGCAACGAATAATCCAAAGCAAGGTCAATAATCCAGTTTGCGCGAAAGATGTACGTGCTCTCGCGAATGCAGATCGGTACGAAGCTCTCTCCCGGCCGTCGCTCTGTTCGCGCGCGCGAAATTAAGCAGCTCTCCGCCAGTGTCAATAATCCTGATTACCTCGTGCGAATGTTTCAGCGCATCGCGTACTTTCACCCTCCCGAACTCCAATTGGCTTCTTTTGCGAAGACGGAAAGTTGGCTGGTGGCGGCGACCGGCGCATGCCGCACTCTTTCGCGGACAAACCAAGTTGTGCCTTACTGCCACGATGACAAGCCGATGAAATCAACTTGGCGGCTAAGTCGCCAATAATAATAATCTCCTCGTTCCGTCATTCAGTCGGCAGATCTCGAAGGCGAGTTTGCGGATTCCGCAGCTAGCATTGTGCGATTTGCGTCCACCTATACGTTGTCGGATTCTCCGTCGCTCGCAAAGAAAAGCAGCGAAGGGTCAAGTTTGCTGCCGCGGAACAACTCGAATGATTCCTCGACGACACGTACGCGAGGCACGGAACAACGCGGAACAATCGGACGTGGCTCGCGTGGAGTGCGCCATCCGGTCCGCGGAATCCCAAGACTCGGCGAGTCTGATTAGCAATACGGCGAGCGAGAGAAGCGTCTCCGCAGACACTTGCGTGCTGTGCACCGTGGCGCAAAGCAGCGATGACGCTCGACAGGTCTTTGTTCGGGAACCCGCGGAAAATGGCACGTGCCAATTCGAATCACGGCCCTTCCCGGAATCCAGCGCGCGCTCGGTCGCTCGGCCGCCCGACCGCTCTGCCTCGATCGTCGATGCACGCAACGCTCTCGTGCGAACTATCGCTCAATCTTATGCAATTCCGGCGAGCACTCACGCCCAATGCGGAGCGCGCGATAACGGCCGGATCGTTATCTCGACGCGTGCACTCTGTCCGTGCGCCACAGACTTCGGCAATTTTTCGCATTTCCACGCGCACACCCATGCCAATCTTTTTTTCGAGAATTGCAAATGCAACTGCAGCTCGGACGCGGTTTACCGCGATTGCAAGCTGAGCAATGACGCTACGATGCGACGTGGCCAAGCTCCCTTGATTGAATATCGCTCGATATTCCGAAATTCCGACGGCAACAGTTTGGTAGGCAGCTGTTGCGCGATGCTGTACCAACCATTAATAGGCTTCCCACTTACAGCTTACATTTGCTTCCAGCGAG